ATCCGTCCTGATTGTACTTTGTTACTGAAGCTCTTTTGTAACTTTCAGAGATAAAGCTCAATGTTTGTCAATCTACAGTGTTCCTCATACGTTTGTTCTTCTTTTAGACTGAATAATCTTCAGACTCACCAGACGTTATTTAAACTTTTATCATTTCTTAGCTCCTGAGAATTTAAACACTCTATCCTGCTTATCATCAGGGTGAAAGTTTGACCTATAGTAAATATTGATTTGCAAGCTGTGTCAAGCCATCTTTTGAAGGGGAAAAAGGCATAACAGAATCCAATGTTAAGCACAAGGGCCAGGGACTCAGGTGTCTGGAGTAGGCAGGAGGGTAATTCAAAGAAAAAATGTGTCCTGCAGACACTGGGATCAGAATGCAGAATACCACTGCCAAGACTGGTCCAGCCAAATACTATGCAGTAGCTTAGGCTATGTTATCAAATCTTAGGATTTTAGTTTTGTTTTGAAATCAGAAATTCAGACCCATATAATATTTCCATATTTTTTAATGTTGGCACTGTAGAGGAAAACACTAAAGAGCATGAATACATAGCAATAGAAACTATTCAGAATGAAGCACAGAGATTTTAAAAAGAGCCTGAGCAGAATGAACAGAGCATCAGTGAGCTGCGGGATAATATTAAGTGACCTGTGACATGTGCAGTTGTATCCTGGAGTGGTGGGGACAGAAAAAGTATTTGAATAAATCACAGCTGAAAACTTTCCAGATATGATGAAGACCTGTAGACTTAAAGAGGCTAGACAAAACCACACCAAAATATAGCACAATCAAGTTGCCAAAAAATATAAAGTGATGGAGCTGGAGATTTAGCTCAGCGGCATAAGTGCCTGCCTTGCAAGCAGGCAGTCATGAGTTCAATCCCTGGTACCGATAAAAACGAAAAAGACAAAATATATATATATATATATATATATATATATATATATATAAAGTGTTACAAGTAGAGAAAATAGATACCGTATATACCTGGGAGCAAAAATACATGATATTAGACTTATTCTAAACAATGCAAGTCAGAGGACAAAGAAAGACATGTCTAAACTGTGCACTTAATATTCTAAGCAAAAAGATTTTATGGCACACATCTGCTATCACAGCTACTGGGGAGGCTGATGCAAGAGGACTGCAAGTTCAAGCCCAGCCTGGGCAACTTAGTGAGATCCTGTCCCAAAATAAAAATAAAAAAGACCTAGGAATTTAGCTTAGTGTAAGGTCCTGGATTCAATCCTCAGTACCAAAGAAGAAAAATAAATCTCTCAAAATGAAAGCAAAAGACTATTGCAGCTACATAAGAGCACAGATAATTTCTTACCAGCAAATCAGAAAAAAATAAATAAAAGGAATTCTTTTAGGTAGGAGAAAATTTTGTCAGTGGTTTACTAAGATTCATAGGAAGAAATGAAAAGTTCTAGTAAAGGGCAAATATAGAGAAGGTTTTCTTTATCACTTCTTGAAAAGACAATTGTATAACTATTAAAGCAAAAATAATTAATTTTTTGTGGCCTGAATTATGTATACAGAAACAAAATATGCCAGAAGTGGTGCCGCCTGCCTATAATCCCAACACTCTGGAGGTTGAGGATTGCCATGAGTTCAAGGCGAGCCTGGGATAGTCAGAGGAGATCAAGGCCAGCCTGAATTATGGAGTGAAACCTTGTTTCAAAAAACAAAACAAAAGTATACAATGAATTGGAAAAATAGCACAAAGGCTGTGAGGGAAGAAGCTGGAATATATTACTATAAAGGTTCTTATAAGTGAAATGGCATAATGGTAGCTACAGAGAGATTGTAATAAATTGAAGGTGCATTATCATAAACCAAAGGTACCACAAATGAAACAAAACAAAGCTTATAAGACATTCGTAAAGATTTTCTTTAAAAATCATTTAAAATTCCCCTCCTCCCAAAAAGAAGCAGGGCACAAAAGAAAAAGTAACAAAGACTAAATAGAAAAACAGAAAACATATAGAAGCATCATGTTTTAAATCCAAACTCTGGAGTGAAGCATTCACTCTTTACTTGGACTGTGACTGCAGCCCTAAGAACGTACACAGTGGTCAAAACTCTACAAATACTATGCAAAATCTGGTGAACTTTTTTGCATGCACATTATTCCTTGATAAAGATGATGAATGAGCCGTAGAAGAGGAGGGAAGAAAGGGTGGCAAGAAAGAAATGAGAAAAAAGAGGAAAAAATGAACAGAAGGCAAGAGAGAGGAGGAAAAAATTAAGCATTTCTGTTTTTAAAAGTACAATTACTTAATAGTTCCCACTGGCCCTTTGCTTTTCTGGAAAACATTTCAGGCTTGGCTCCTGTCTGCCCACATCTGCTCTCGGGTGGTCTCACCCTTAATCTCAAGGAAATCATGGAAGCAAAGATAAGTGCCTCTCCAAGAGAAAGGCTGGCAGGCGATGATGGGGAAACTTCCGTTCAATTACATGTGGAATGGAAGCAACCTGGCCCTCCCGGCTTCTCATAACACTGACCTCTCCCCTTCCTGAACTTGCTTCCTCCATCTCTACCACATCTTCCTTCATTGCAGGGAGCCTCACCCCACCCTCTGCTCTTTTAATCTTGAGCATTTCGGTTCCCCTTCTGTTTCCACACCCTGTTGCTCTCCTGGCAGCAGCTGAATAAATCTGGGGCTGTCCCAGAAAGCCAAGTGTACCCAGGGCTGTTAATGAGTCTTGGGGTGCAAGAAATCTTAACTTCAGGGCACAGACACAGTTCTTATGCACACAAACAGATAGACCGTGCAAAGGAGCTGGACACTGAGGTGCTGGGGGAAAGCTGAGATAATCAGATGATAGAAATGCAATAAAGAGATAAAACAGGGCTAAGGGTAGCTGTAGGGGGAAGGAAATTATGACACTTCCAGGGTCAAGCAAAATAGTATATAAACAGTTCTAACTGTGCAAGATGAATGAGCATTTAAGCATAAACAAGATGACTTATCAAGGACCACAGAGAAAATATAACCTGTTCTTGTATTCTCACACAAGTGACTGAAGTCTCAGATTGTACTTAACTATTGAGTTACTTTGGAAAAATAACTTGCTAATCTTTATCTCATTTACTAGTAAGAGTTATTCTTCAGCTCACCAATGTATCAAAGCTTTTATAAGTATGTGAACATAGAAGTAGACATACAAGGACTGACTGAAATATGTGATGAATGTTTACATTTTTAAAAAAATTCATTACAGCAGGGCTTGGGTTTAGGTCAAGTTGACATGACCAAATACACTAAGAAGGTCAGTAAATGTGGGACCTACTATGGTACCTCACTCTGCAAAATGGTGAAGAAAATTGAAGTCAGCCAGCACACCAAGTACACCTGATCCTTCTGTGGCAAGATCAAGATGAAGAGATGGGCTGTAGCAATCCGGCATTATGGTTCCTGCATGAAAACAGTGGCTGGTGGTGCCTGGACCTACAATAACCTTCTGCAGTCACAGCCATCAGAAGACGGGAGGAACCCAAAGACCAGAAATAGCGCCTCTGTTCTACTATTAGAGATGCTCCTCGTCTATAATAATTGATTTAATTTATGTAATAAAAAATTTGAAAAATTATTAGAGAAAAAGATACAATGCCAATAAGGATGGAATAAATATACTGGAAGCAAGGAGAATATTTTGAGTATTCTGATGGGATTAATGATAATGTTTCTTTTATTGTAACATATTTTCAAATTTAAATATTCATTGTTATTTTGTGATCACCTCTCATGAATCAAACATTTGTGGTAATAGATGTCAATTAAAAACATTATGGTGTGGCTTCATTTTCCCTTCCACTGGGTCTGGCACCACGTGACTTCTGGCTCTTCCCAAAAGTCAAAAAGATCATACAAGGTAGATGTCTGGAATGCATTCGGGACATTAGGGCAGCCACAGCAGTGTAACTAAAGACACTCAGGAAAGAGTGCTTCAGAATTGTTTCAGAAAGCGGCAAGAACAGGTGACTTCAGGGAAAATGGCAGAGCAGTGAGCAGCAGAGAAAGAACCTCTCCAAGTTTTGTGTCCAGACCCTGGAACATAACAACATGAGGAAGAGAAGGAGGAGAGAGGTGGGTCCCATGGACCCAGGAAGGATCTGAACTGAGGCTTGAAACCGAGAGAGAGAGAGAGAGAGAGAGAGAGAGAGAGAGAGAGAGAGAGAGAAGAGAGAATTCAGGAATTCAGCAAAAACAAGAAAACCAGGGACAGCAGTACTGCCAGACAGGAGGAAACAACAAGGAAGCAACATAGTCCCTGTGCCCTGTGCACCAGCAGAGGCCCTACCAGCAGGGCAGGAAAAGCCATGCAGCCCCACCACCCCGCGCACTGATGGAGGCCCTGCCAGCCAGGGAGAAGCAGCAGGAAGCCGGGCAGCCTCCCTGTGTGCCAGAGGAGGCCCTGTGGGCTGGGGAGAAGCAGCAGGAAGCTGCCTTCACCTCCTGCCTCCCGCTTCCCTCTCCCTCCACCTCTATGAGTAACTGGACGCAGCACTGGCTGAGATAACTGAAGCGAGGAAGCCACCTGACATTTAAATTGTTTGATTAACTTCCCAAGCTTGGGGCCAGTCGCCTGAGCAACTAATTAGAGGATAAGATTATGCAATATAGTAAGAATTTTGGATTTCCTACTGTCCTATCACTATTTTGTTTTGTTTCACTTTACTGTTTTGTTTTATTCCCTTTAAAACAAAGAAAATTATTTTTAAAGTGGCAAGAACAATGGGCTAAGTGTGTTCAAAGTGAGGGGGAGTGTTCTGAGGGGGTTAATGGCAATGTGGCTTTTATGGTAACAACTTTTGAGAATTTAAACATTCACTGTATATTTTGATGGCACCTCCTATGAAATCTTTCCAAATTATGAAGGTTCCTTATGAAAAGGTATATGCTATCCAGAGAACTCATCTCAGGTTTTTTCAGATTGAGAGTGAAGAAAAAGTGGTCTTCAGATGTCTTTATGGTTTTTATCCCTCTAGGTGCTTCTTACTCTGACCACACATCTCCTGTGGAGAGGATGGATGATGCAGTGGCCCCGGGCCAAGAGTACACCTACGAGTGGGTCATCAGTGAGGACAGCGGGCCCACACAGGATGACCCTCCATGCCTCACACACATCTATTACTCTTATAAGAATCTGACAAAGGACTTCAACTCAGGGCTGGTTGGACCTCTTCTCATCTGTAAGAAAGGTAAAACCAATGATAAGAAAAGATTCTGCACCAGCAGATATGCTGGGGTGCTAACAAGTGCTGGAACAGGAGAGATCTGGGAGCGTCTTGGTAACTTTCACCCATGGGGCAGACAGAGAAGGTTGCAGAGACCAAAGCACTGCTTGACAAAAGAAAAAATACCCCACTGTAGGACCTGAATCATCCTCAGTTTCTTCTAATTCCTCCTTAATCTCAACCATAGGAGCTTCTCCCAAACACATGTCTATTTGAGACCATGTTCTGATATCCTACTGGTACGATCTGTAACATTTACTACAAGACTGATGTCTTCCTGAAAGTGCACCATGGCCAATCCTCTGCTGTATTTTTAGAAAGGACTTTGGCTAACATAATTAATTAACATGGCTAAAGTTTGGGTTGGTCTCTGAAAACACAAAACTACAGCTTCCTTTCTTATAACAAGCTGAACACTTCTGATGGTAGATTTCAAAACTATTCAACTGACTTTACAAGAAATTACATTGAGCAGGCTTCTTAGGAACAGGCTTGGTTTTTCCAGAGAATCCAGCTCATACTTCATTAAAACAAGCAAAGTGTCACAGTAAGTCAGACCATGAGAAAGACAAATGTGATGGACCCACTGTCTGTCTACATATGTACACAGACATGCCCAACTGATTTATTCATCACAAAAAATACATGTTCATGGCCTGGTATATAGAAGCTACTAAAATGGCACTGAAAAACATTTTTCCCTCAGGTGAGAACAGGTTAATACTGATACCCATTTCCTGTACAAACAAGAGAGCTGCATTAAACTTAGGGTGTGATGCTTCTACCATCTGAGGTAGAAGGCACACGCGTTTTGGCCTGGTGATGCTGAGGAAATGGATTATTTTGACAATTGCCAAGTAGTTTCTTTCTGTGCCAGGTTAAATTTACCCCTGTATCTCTGTTCCTTAAATCTACAAAAGTGTCAAAGGAAATTTGATAACTCTCACCCATTATTATTCAGAACGATGCTATTTTAAAAAATAGGAACTTCTCAGAGTTTATATTATTATGATTGGTTTCTCACCTTAAACTACTCGCTGTCTTGAAAGGCTAGCACGTCTTCGGTGTAGGATGCTGTTGAAAATACGTCTTTCTCTCTCAGGCACCCTAACTGAGGATGGGACTCAGATGATGTTCGACAAACAATTTGTGCTGCTATTTGCCGTGTTTGATGAAAGCAAGAGCTGGGACCCATCACCATCTCTAATGTACACGGTCAATGGTTATGTGAATAGAACAATGCCAGGTAACACATGGGTCTGAAGTCCTCCAGCTGCAGTAGAATCATTACTACCTTGGCTCCACCGATTTCCTCAGGAGACCAGGGAAGTTGATCATAGTCACTGTTTCTAATTAGAGTATTATATAATCCAGCGCAATGGTTCTCAAAATCTTACCCTTCTTTAAAACCAGGAAGTGCAGCTACCAAACTGAATGGAGAGAAAGTGTGAAGCCCCATTAGGTATGATGCTCTGAGCAGGATTTACCTTGGCCTGTACCTCCAGGATGTCAGTCCTGTCTCCTTTAGTGATATGTGTGGTCTTTGCTGTGTAGTGACCAACCCATTTACACTGAAGTTCAAGGTGGATCCCTAGCAGAAGCTTCAGCAGAAAGAATACAATAAGGACACTTCTAAGGAAAATGAACAGAAGATTAGGAGAAATCCCTAACACAAAATATACTATTAACATTTTTTAAATGGATGAATAATATTCAGTGGCATGTAAAATGTTTTCTCTTATGGTTGCATATAGATTATGAGAAAATAAAATCATGGCAACTACTAGGTGGAGAAAAACCCCCAACTCCCACTGAATAAGTCCATTTTCTGTTGCTATAACAAAATGACCGAACCTAGGTACTTTATAAAGAAAAGACCTCACTGTTTTAGAAACTGAAAGTACAAAATTGGGCAGCCCCATCAGTTCAGCCTCAGGTGCCTGCCCCTTATATGTGTTGCAACATGGGAGGGAAGCACAAAGGAAAATGACTACATAGAGAAGAGACCAAGCACACAGGTGGCCTTGCTTTATAGCGGTTTATTCTGGTGAGAACTAACCAGTCCTGAGAGAACTACATTACTTCCTTTCAAGGGCAGAACCCCTAGTGGCCAACCTTCTTCCAGTAGGCTCCATCTCTTTGTTAAACACCGCCTCCTAAAGTTCTACCACCTCAGTACCACCACACAGAGGACCAATCCACCAGCACATGGCCCCATAGGGACACAGTGTAACCATGTCCAAACAGCACCCAGCATGGACCACTTGTTTTCCTCCTGGTAGAACTGACTTCAAGCTAAAGGTCCACAGCATACAGGAACCAGATTGAGAGAGAAAAAGAAAACAAATGTTTCCATATTACCAAACACTACATTTCTGAAAGCCATTCTTTATGTCTGAATACCACAAATAGCTTCATCTGTGAAGCTGAGGTCTCAGTATTGCTTTTAAATTGCATTCCACTTCATTCATTCCATCTTCCAGGGGGATTATTAAAGAGTTTGAAAAGCTGCAGCTTAATTAACAGATCTGTGCCTTGGGAGATCTGTATTCCCATCTCACTCACTTCCCCACCTGAGGTTAGCCATTAGTCCCCTCAAGGTGCTAGCTTACAAAATTAATTAACCATCTGTCCGTTCACCATCTGTGTCCTGGCAGAGTGAACAATCCATAGAGATATATGAATTTAAAAAACGTATGCAGAGCATAGTCCTGATCTAGCACCTAGGACAAAATAAACATAATTTGATCATAGGATAGAGAGATTAACAATTTGTAGTGGAAAAAACAGTGATGCATAGAAGAAAAAGAAAAGAGAAGAAAAACATCATTAGCAGAAACAGAATAGTAAAAGCCTATAAAAGTCCCTGATTTAGGAACAGTATAAACCAAGTAAATTGATAAGTGTTTATATATGTGTTAACTGCTGAATTCAATGTGAGCATTTATTTGGGGTGAACGGAAGCTCCTCCAAAGCCTCCTTCCTTCTAGCTTTTTGCTTGCATGAGTGATGTCAGCAATCCCTGCCCTGTTACAAAGGTCTTCTAACAAGGACAAACTCCTCCATGGGCAAGGGACTGGATCTCAGCTCCATGATCTTGTATCTGCTGATTGTGGGTCTGAAATTTACAAAATAAGCCGCGGACAGAAGCCAGGACTGGAATCTCCTACAGAACAAAAGAGCATTTTCCCAGTCACCCTGGGAGGAATGAAGGAGCAGAACTAAGCTTTTGTCTTCATTTCTCATTATTCCTGCCACAGAAAGCTCCCAGCAGCCCAGCATAATGAGGACAGTCCACTGTGTTTTAAGGAAAGCATGTAACCCACACAATTCATCACTTCATTAATAAAACATAAAAGTAGACAAAGAATTTCCTCAAATAATCTCCACACCTTCATCCGTATAAGCAGAGGTTTGACCTCTACTAGGTAATAGAGTAGCGTTCTGCTGAATCTTTCAGCAGAAACTAGATTGGTGTGTGCAGTCACCCTATTTTGCCCAGTGCTGACACTGAAATTCCTGAATCCTGGGACATCCCTCATTCTTGGGCAACAGAATGGTCACCTACTCAGTCCCCTCCTTAGCTTAATCCCTTAGAAATCCTGTACCTTTGAACCAATGCTCCCCAGCCCCACCACAACACCCTGGCTCTGTTCTTACCCCTACAGTGTCACAAACTGCGACACAGCTACCTGTGACATCTGCTTTTGCTGAAGAGGAATCACAGCTGAAGCATCTGAACCCCCAACCCTGAACTTTACATGCTTTGGTGAATGACATTTTGATCACAGAGCACTGAACTGAATTACTGTTTTGGCTGCTGTCTCTCCCTCTCTCTCAGCTATCACAGTCTGTGCCCATGACCACATCAGCTGGCATCTCATTGGAATGAGCTCCGGGCCAGAATTGTTCTCCATTCACTTCAATGGCCAGGTCCTGGAGCAGAACCATCAGAAAGTTTCCACCGTCACTTTGGTCAGTGCTACGTCCACTACTGCCAACATGACGGTGAGCCCAGAGGGAAAGTGGACCATATCTTCTCTCATCCCTAGACACTTTCAAGGTAAGAAACTCTTCTTACAGGCTTGCTTCATTGTTTCTTCCCTGCACAGACTCCTTCCTCCCTCCCTCATTCAAGCCATCTTACCCCAGACATACAGTAAGTGTTGGTTCTTAATAGCAGGCTTTAGATATTCTGACCTTAGACTTAGAACCTACTGGTTGGGGGACAAAGAAAGTAAAGGCACTGACAAATACTGTTTTTGAACCAAGAAAAAGCTGAAAAGGTTTCTACTTCCTAGACAGGAAGAAGAAAACACATGCCGAGGTATTCTTTCTTGAGGGTAAGTCATATGTACCCAAAGGAAGAGACCTAGACTCTAGAACAGGACTATGATTTGCAAACTTCCAGAGGCACCAATTACCAAGAGTGTAAAAAAATTTAACACAAAAATTCATTGATTTCATTATGTGTTGAATGGGTCAAACGTGTATCTTTATGGCTGAAGGGTGAGTTTAAAGAAGGTCAGTGAATTCAGGAGGGGAAGAAATCAGCAAGGGTTATGTTATCATGTAAATAATAATCATCTTATTACACAGTTTGCTTTAAAACTGTTCAGAAGAGGGTTTATATCTCAACGGTCAAAGCTAAGTAAAAATATTGCTAAAAGAAACCACTTTGTTACCTAAATGATGCACTGCACATGAGAAAGAAATATTCCACAGAATCACTTCATTTCCTTTTCACACTGAGCAGGCAAAATTGCATTTGAAGTAATGAAATTGTCACAGTATCCCTGGAAAACAAAGTTCCTGGTAACAACAAAACAAAAACAGAGCTAACATTTATTATGGACAAACGCTTTATATTTTTAATGATGATTTCATGAAGTATGTACTAGTATTATTGTCATCTTACATACATACTGATGGATAACAGAAAAAATGAAAATTCAAAAAAATCTCAATCATAGGGTTTTAAGAGTTTGAAAATTAACAAGAATTCCTTCTGTTCCAGAAGAAGCAAAGGGAATATTTCCAGATTTTTCCTCTAACCTTTCCTCCTCTCTCCACTGGTCTTTTTTTGTTCTTTCCCTTTGTCCACTGAAAGAGTCTCAATCAAAGTATTCAAGTGTCTTGACCATTCCTTTCACTGTTATTTGTAACCCTATATAAATTGCTTTTAAAAATATGAATCTTGATCAACAATAGTTTCTGCTCTTACACTCTCTCGCTGACTTTCTGACCTAATTTAGCTGGCATGCAGGTTCACATTGATATTGTGAACTGTCCAAAGAAGACCAGGAATGTTAAGAAACTAACCCTTGAACAGAGGAGGTACATCAAGAGGTGGGAATACTTCATTGCTGCCGAGGAAGTCATGTGGGATTATGCACCTATAATACCAGCAAGTATGGACAAGTGAGTCATCAGGGTTCACCTCTCTTTGCAAGGGTTCAAGGCATGGTCTCTGAGTGTGAGGGGGTAAAGTATTATCAGGGGCAGCTCTCAGGGGACATATGTAGTGGTTTCCATTCAGCTCTTCTTATCCAAATCAGTCTTGAATTACCCCCAAATCACCAAAAGAACTTAACATAACAACAACTACAATATTAATAATAACTGCAGCCACTTCCATTAGTTGAATGCTTGATGCTGCTAACAATGATATTAGATCCTTTCTAAGGTTTTCTCTTCAGTTCTGCAGAACCGAGATGTTTGGTGACATTTTGGTGGCAGTCAAGGTTTTTCAATATATAAAATAAATACTTGAATTAGATACTCTAGAATGGAGCTCCTGTTTTTGGAAACTAAGTCGATAATAAACAGAGCTAAGAGGAAAGTGGCTCATGTTGTTACTCCCAAGTCATTTATCCCAGTCACTATAGAAGCTGGGCAAAGGAGGTTGCATTTCAACCAGCACCTAGGATTGGGTGGATGGTGGCAGGGACAGCCCAGCAGCTCAGAATTAGAGCTAATAAAGATAATAAACCTTCTGGGGGTGGGGGAGATGATTTTGGAGATGAAACATTATCTAGAAAGCCAAAAAGAGTATCACAGATTAAGTGATAGGAAAGACTTCTTTAAAAACTCTCTTAGCACATTCCTATCTTTCAGCCAGTGTAGACACAGGGATACCTAATTCTAAAAGATTTTCCAACCCTACTGGGGTTGCTACTTGAGGAAGGAAGTATTTTAATTTTTAAATTATTATAATTTCATTTAACTTTAAGAATATACAAATCTCTGCACTTGGATAATTTCTCAAACCGAATTGGAAAACATTATAAGAAAGTTGTTTACAGACAGTACCAAGATGAGAGCTTCACCAAACGCATGGACAATCGGAATATCAATGAAAATGGGATTCTGGGCCCCATTATCAGAGCCCAGGTCAGAGATACACTCAAGGTAAGTAATATAAATACAGAGCCATGAAAGAAATTAAACTGTGAAAGGCATATCATGGAATATATACTTTTTGGTTATATATTTTTTTAAAAGTTGTTTGCATAATTTAAATGCAATACAGCTTTTAGTTTTAATTTATTGTTTGCACTTATTTATAACCTACTCAGTAATACAAAGATCTGGAACACATTACAAATTATGAAGAAATAAGACAGTCTAATAGTCAAACCAGAATGGGCATCGTAGTGAATCTTATTGCCTTCAAAGTAGTTGCCTTTACTCTGATACTTGATATTATCACACAGAACGGAACAGACTATTATCCTCTTTTGAAGTTCTGTAATGTTTACAATGTTTACAAGGTTTTATTGGTATTGTTCTCTACTGTTCTGTTCAACTTTATAATACCTAAAGAGATAGACAATTCTTCTTAAGGAAGCAAGAAGCATCATGGTAACCATTGTTGATAACCTTATACTCTGTTTTTACATCGTGTGCTATGTCTATCCTTGGTTTTGACTGACAGTTTTGTTTTATCATGTTTGATTTTATTTTCTTCCAAAAAAAAAAGTAATAAGATCTACGGGAGCAATAAAACCCATAATGTGTAAATTTTGTTGTAATAAAGAGAGGGGAAAAAAAAGTGCCCTAAAGGATACAACAGCAAATGTATTTAGATGTTTTAAATAGATGACCATATTAATATTTTTGATTGGATCATTGAACACAACTGTTTGCAGTCTCACTGTTTGAATGTTCACTTTGTATGCTTTGATCCTGTGACCTGAACCACTGTCTCTAAGATGATAGTGTGTAATCTATTAACTGGTGATATCTTACTGGTTTTTTTTTTGTAGTTTTGTATTACTTGTACCCTTACACTGTTTTGTTTTGTTCTGTTTCTTTCTCTTTTTCCTTTTAAATAAAATTTTTTTAAAAATTTAAGAAAAGAAATAAAACAGTCAATATATTGGGGTGATAGATAACATAGGAATGAAGAAAATAAAGCCTCATATGTGTATTGAAATCCACACCATGTGATCTGAGGCCAAGTTCAAAGTTTGTCCTAGGTTTCAAAGCAGCCAAAGTAGAACAGGAATATGTCAGAGTGAGATTTACACATCCATCAACAAAGCAGAGTTTGCCCTGATACCAAAACCTCAGAAGAATTCCTCCGTGAATCCTTGTCATGAGAGTACTGCGTGATATAGCAGATGGTAGCCTTGACAAATTCCTACAGCTTTTATGGATTCAAATAATTGAAAATCTTTTTTAAAAATTGTACTTCTCATTGTCAATGGGAACATAACAGCGAACACAGTTGAAAAACAAACAGACCTGTAATGTGGTCTAGGTATGTGGCTCTCTAATAGTTAAGGTTCTTGCTTAAGGTAAATTTAGCCATATACCAAGAGCTTGGAGTTTTCCTTCTACAAAACTCTATGTATTACTTGACACCACTTCACCAAGATGGATAGGAACAAAGAACTGCAGGTTATATTTGGCAAGATCCTAAAGTACACATAATCTGTGGATTAAAGATGTTTCAAAGGCTATGGAGAGCAACCAAGTAGAAGATCAAGGTTCGCTTTTGAATTTACTGTGCTTAATTAGGACTCTTCAGTGAATTCTGCCTTACACCAGCAATGGTGAACCTTTTGGAGACCGAGTGTCCAAGCTGCAACCCCAAACCCACTTATTTATTGTAAAGTGCCAAAACCACATTAAATCTGAAGACTGAGGTTTTAATTGAGAAAAAACCAACAACAATACATTAACATCTTTTCCTTAAAAAAAAATTACCACATGTGCCATAACTCTGCTACTACTGCCTTAGCCAAAATCTAGTCTGTTCATTTTTAAAAATAATGAAAGGACAAAAATACCACGATTGTATGTCCCTTGCCCTTCCAGCATTTCCAATTCCTTCCAGGTGCTCTTAGAAAGTGTAAACACACATTTTGGGGAATTTGGACCTGGCTATTGGACAGTCTCCTGCAAGAAGTTTTCAATGACAGGGTTCCTAGGAGCCCCATAGATAGGACATGGAGACTCCGATCTAGAGATAAGGTGCAAATTCAAAGTGAGATGTGACCCAAGCTGAAAGGTCAAGGGAAGGGAGAGAGTGACCAGCTCGGTGAGGATAATACTGTGCAGAAAATGTAATTTCTCCTAACCTGCCCTCTAAATTCAGACTTGTGCATTTTTTACCTTCACATGTGAGTAAAACTCTCTTAGAGATTTCTTAGATAATAGAAGGATGCAAATCACATAAACAGAACTAATTTTTCCACCGAGTGTGTGCAAACACACACAGAAAATATGCAATAAGTTAACATCTTGTGTTAGCTCTCATGAGTGACCTTAAATCCTGAAATAATATATTTGATTTAATTTTGTAGATTGTGTTCAAAAATACGGCCAGTCGCCCCTATAGCATTTACCCTCATGGAGTGACCTTCTCTCCTTACGAAGAGGAAGTCAACTCTTCCTCCACCTCAGGTAGGAACCTTTACTTCTACTGAAAGAAGCCAGTGACTCTAGACATTACTGTGTGTTTCTGTCGTCCTCCTTGTACCATGGTGTAACTAGTGCAGCCAGCAGTATACATGTATAGTGAGGTCCTAAAACTTCCAACCAAGCTCTGCTCCTTTCGAAACTTTGCCTATCTGTAAGTACAAAATATAGTATAGTATCTTTTATTAGTGTTATAGTGGCCTCTAGTGGCAATATTAAATGGTTACATGCTATCGAGGAGCCATATATAAGATGTGATCAAAAAATGTCATGAGTATTTAAATAAAAATTTCAATGACTTATTATAGTAAAAGGGACAGTGCCATTTGTCCCCTTCAAGATCCTTCCCCTACTTTGGACACACTCATCCTATTGTTCTTGCCACTTTCTGAAGCAGTTCTGGAAGTCCTCTTTAGTGAATGTCTTTCCATGTTTGCCTCAATGTCTGAATCAATTCAAAATGTTTACAGCAATTTCTGTCAGGGTATCCTCAGCCACTGCATTCAGCAGATCTGGTACCATGAAACTTCTGGCTCTCCTGCAAAGTCAAAATGACCATGAAAGGCAAACATTTCCAATCAGTTCAGGATATCAAGGCAGTCATAATAGTACAACTAAAGACACTTAGGAGAAAGGTCATCTAGAACTGGTTCAGAAAATAACAAGAATGATAAATGCATTCAAAGCAAGGCAGAGTATCATGGCGGGGAATTAATGGCATGTGTTTTTTACTGTTTGAAATAACTTTTAAACATTTACACATTCAGTATATCTTTCAATCACACCAGGTAGTGTTAAATGTAAAAAGAATATTCTTTTATTAATAAGTTGGTTCTAGTGAGAACTAAAATAACTCACTTATAATAGTAAAACAATTTTCCAAATGAAAGCAATTTTGATTCCATTTCTTTCCCAGGCAACCACACCATGATCCGAGCAGTTCAGCCCGGGGAAATTTATACTTATAAATGGAACATCCTTGAGTCTGATGAACCTACAGACAGTGACGCCCAGTGTTTAACCAGGCCTTACTACAGTGATGTAGATATCACCAGGGATATTGCCTCTGGCCTCATAGGGCTTCTTCTGATTTGTAAGAGCAGATCCTTGGATATGCGAGGCATACAGGTATTTTATTTTGGAAGTAACCTTAAAAAGATTAAGAAGCAATATGTATGTGTACAAATTCCCCAAGATCAATATAATTATTTTGTACCGCAAATACATACTAATTAAATAGGTGGGGGAAATTCTAGGCATTTCTTATGGGTGGAACAATTAGGTGTCCTTGCTCAACAAAGGGGCCTCTCCTTCTAAAGAATGTACATAATAGTTATTCTTTAGAAAATGTGATAACACTTATCAATCTGGGAGTTTTTGTATGTGTGTTGTCTGTCTGGTTGCACACTGCCCAAGGTGATTCTTTAATGGTAATACTGTATTTTTGGTTTAATTGTGAAATTCAGGTCTATTTTTAATGACTGCATAATGAATAAATCCATCTGCCTCTCCTAACTTCTTCCCTTTCAATATTCCTCCCAAGATTTTTGTAGGGTGATGTGGGGGGCATCAGTGAGATACCAAAAATATAGCCATCTTTGTTATTTTAGAGATCTACAAGACAGAGAAATAGGAAAAATTCTAAAGTAAATGTTCTTAGAGACAGTTGCTAGTGATGTTGGCTCCAGTCAATGATCTTTGTCTAGTGAGGCTACGTTATACAAAATGATGTGAACAAAGATACTAATCTTCTGGGTTAATCCTCATTGATGATCAGTAGTCTCTCTCTCTCTCTCTCTCTCTCTCTCTCTCTCTCTCTCTCTCTCTCTCCTTCTCTCTCTCTCTCCCCCCCCCTTCCTCCCTCCTCCTTTCTCCCTCCTCCCTCTCTGTCTGTCTCTCTCTCTCTCTCTCTCTCTTTCTCTCTCTCTCTCTCTCTCTCTCTCTCTCTCTCTCTCTCTCTCTCGTACTGGGGATTAACTCACAATCTTGTACTTATTAGGCAAGGACTTAAGCCACTGAGCTAAATCCCCAGTCCTAATAGTCTCATTTATTAACCTGAAATTTCCAATTGGGCTTAGCAATAATTAAAGAGGTCTTATCCTAAGATTTACAAAATGAATACATGCTTTAGGAAACAAATACATGATTCTGGATCTTGCTCTACTGAGGTAAGTAAGGTAGCAAATGGGCAGGGAGAGGCATGAGACTGTCCTATCACAGTCTTCTTTTACTCTTTTACAACTATTTGGGACACCTTCAGTCAGCCACTCCTATTGAAATGTGCTCAATTTCAGACATAAACAGACTTTTGATTGCCATGCTGTCCTGAGATCATTTTCGAATCTTTGGATTTTCTGGTCTGCTTTCTCTCATATAACCCTGTAACCCTGACAAATGCTTGGTATGCAATGGGTTCTCATAATTGCCTGAATGATGAGGCCCTAAGGAGAGTGCCTCCGGGGTCTCTGAGATCTCGGTGTTAATAGATAATCAGCTGGTGCATTAATCACTAAACACAGCCCATCCATCCTCCAGAGGGCAGCGGACATCGAGCAGCTGGCTGTGTTTGCTGTGTTTGATGAGAACAAGAGTTGGTACATTGAGGACAATATCAATAAGTTCTGTGAAAACCCTGAAATGGTGAAACGGGATGACCCCAAGTTTTATCAATCAAATATAATGAGCAGTAAGTCAGAGCACTGTTTTTATCTATCAATTTTTCATTCAGCTGGTTGAAGTATGCCCATGTCTAGAAACAGAGACATAGATAAGAACAATCTGACCAAAGAGTCGCTGTCTTATCCTTACTTCCAATTCAAGAGTTTTTTGATGAAGTCCCTGGATGAAACTATGCTATACACCTTTGTCTAAGGGCCGTTATCTTTTAAACAAGAGGTCAAAACCTAGTTACCCTTAGCGTCTCCTATATCTCCTGCTTTCAATGTGATCCATGTGTGTGTGCTCTGGGCAGAGAAGAAGGCAGGAAAGGAAGGTACTACAAGTATTGGCCAGCAGACTCTCAGGATCTGAGGTACAAGGAGAATGTTCTTTATTTAAAGCCAGAGCAGAAACCAAATAAGTAGGTCAAAGCCCGGTCATCAGATCAAAGGAAAGCAAGTAAGTCTGGCGACGAGGAGTTTTGGAATCAGCTGTAGGAAGTTTAGAGGCAGGAGCGGCTCCAAGGTGTTACAGTTCCAAGATTACTGCTATAAGAAGTCTAGGAGAAATTTCACTGAGGCAGCTAGAAGCAAAGATCTCCATCATGGTCAAGGTCCTTTGTATGCTCTGCTGAGTCATTATTTACTCTGAAAAGTAAATAATCATAGCTGTGAGGATTATTTCTGCCTGGTCTGTCATATGTTTTCAGATGACTAACAACTGGTGTCATCAAAGCTGAGCGGTGCCATGACCAATAATTTCATAGAGGGCATTATTTCAGCATTTTTCACATAATTTCATTTCAGTGGTGAATTTGCCGTAGTTTTAAACAAGCACTGTGCAACAAAAATTGTATTTTCTGGTAACCACATTAAAAAGTAAGAGAAATAAGTGAAGCTAATTTCAATAATGTGCTTTATTCAATATAGTCTAGCTACTATCGTTTAAAAATGTAGTATAAAAATTAATGAGATTTACTTTATTACTGTCTTTAAAATCCATTGTGTATTTTATTCTGATAATCACATCACAGTGTAGTCTACCCACAACTCAACGTTCAATAGCCACTTGTAGCCAGTGGCTACCATATTGGACAATGGAGTTGTTGTAGACCAAGTAGGAAGCATTTAGAATGAGCTATAAACTAACAACACATTAGTTTTATTTCAGTGCTTCAACATGTATTTGTTAAGTGCCCACTTAAAATTTCATTAAGTGTCTGGGGCTATAATGGTAACCAAGGTAAATGTGGGCCCTACCAGTCTGGTAATCACATTTTTTAACTGATTGTCACAGTAAGTATATAAGGTAATTGAGATCTGGCCTTAAAGCAGTGTCTCTTTTAAAGATATGGAAGAATATGAATGCAACACTTGGTTGTCTTTTTTAGGAACATTCATTCTTCATGACTAATGTGTCAAGAAGATGGATTTTTTTTTTATATTATGATTGTCTTCCAAGTGGAATTATTCCAGACAGTATTCTAAATTGATTCTTAGAATATTTTTAAAGGCAAAGCACACAGCACAAAACAGTTCATATAGATTTGACAAATGAGCAAATAAACCAATGTAAATGAAAGGCTCTGTCTTCACCCTGACATTTCTTTGTTGGCCAACTCTGGAGAATAAGCTCTCATTTGAGAAGTGTGAATCTGACCTTCAAGTCACATGTTCCATCTGGTAAAGCTTATCTTGGATAATCACTGCCTTTGACACAACCAAATTAATACTGGCAGCTTTGTTTTAGGTATAATTATACAATGTCCTTTTGTTGGCACAGGCCTGGAAGTTTAACAGATTTTTCTTTTCCAGCTATCAATGGCTTTGTGCCCGGGAGTATAACTACTCTAGGGTTCTGCTATGATGATACTGTCCAGTGGCATTTCTGCAGTGTGGGGTCCCAGGATGATATCTTGACCATTCACTTCACTGGGCACTCATTTATCTATGGAAAGAGGCACGAGGACACCTTGGCCCTCTTCCCCATGCATGGAGAGTCTGTAACTGTCACAATGGATAACGTTGGTGAGTACACACATGGACACGTGGGGAAGGAGTTGACTTTGGACTTCTGGTTTCCTGCAGCTCTCCGGATGACCACTGTTCTTGGGGTGTCTCCCCAACCTCTTGAAGGCTCTCTTTTTACTGCTTTTCAGCATTTCTGTTTGGGAAATTGACTTACCTGGGTTCAGTTCTTTCACAGGAGTTGTATTTATACATCTCTGGGCCTCATGGGAAATAAAGACATACAACAGCAAAAAGACAAGACAAATATTCTAGCCATAAAGGAGCATTTCATTGATCAAAACGTCCCTTTCAGATAATTTAATACTATCATCTACTTTAGGGTTAACAATTATCTAATAAATTGCCTCAGAGGTTTCTTACAGGCAGCTTTGGGGTACAGACCTGAGTTTGAATCCTGTTCTGTAACTCACTCTCTTACAATCCTGCACAAATTATTTGGGTTCATTAAGTCTCAAATTATTCATCTAAAAAATATAGTAACACTTTACAGAATTTCTTTGACTACTAATTATAATAAAGGCCAATGGCCTAATATTCAACAGATGGTACCTCTTGGAGACTTCCCAAGAAATCTTCAACGTTTCAGCGATTCATACCATTTCAAAGAGATTCAAGTCTGGCCTGGTCCCACATGAATTATTTCTTAGATATATCTAAATATTTCCTACTTATTGTGAATAGATCTCATCTATTCACATTCTCCAACTCTCAAACCAGGTATACAGCTGACAAGATGTTCATGATATTCAAGGTTTGTTTTATTTTTGATTCATCCCATTCTTAATACACTCGAAAACCATGACTCTTAAGCTCCCTGTGCTGACTTTTCCATTTTCTGTAATCTCTACCCACCAAGACTTTTAGTATGTATTCTGTTACATGAGGTAAGTGAACTGATCATGTTCTTATATATCGCAGTAATGTGAAATAGCTTTTTAAAAACTAAATATATTCTTCCCAGTTTTTCTCCTATTTCTTCACGTGCCAATAACCAATGGTTCACACACTAACAGTGGTCATCAGGTCAGAGTTGGGTATCTCTGACTAAAGTTCATTAAAAATTACGTTATAATGGACCCTTGTTTTCCTGGACTTTCAGCATTCTCTCTGTCTCTCTTATGAAGGAACTTGGATGCTGATGACCATGAATTCCAGTCCAAGAAACAAAAACCTCTGGCTGAGATTCAGGGATGTTAAATGTATCGGTGATGATGATGAAGACTCATATAAGATTTATGCACCTCCAGAAGTATCAACACCCATGGATGTACGGAAAATAAAATTTCCTTCAGAAAATGAACATGAAGAAATTAATCCAGATGATGATTACCAAGATGATCTGGCTTCAGCATTAGGACTGAGGTCATTCAGAAATTCATCCCTGAATCAAAATGAAGATGAATTCAATCTTACTGCCCTTGCTCTGGAGAACAGCTCTGAGCTCATTTCTCCAAGTACAGATGTAGCTATAGGCTCCAATTCATCATTCGCGAGAACTGTTGTGAATAACATCACAGAACCTCAGAAAACCCTTCCTCATGTAGAAGCCTCAATAGCTGTTCACCTCCTGGAACACTTCAGTGGCTCAGACGAGAACCCTGTTGTTAATTCTTCCACAAAAGAGTATTCCAGCCCATATTCTGAAGACCAGATAGAAGAGCCCGAACAGTCAGATGTCACAGAGATAAGCCTATTAGGTGCAAAAAGATTCAGAGACAGAGAACATGCTACACACAAAGCAGCCAGAAAAAACAGAAACCAACTAAGAAAGCACAGGTTATCCTGGATGAAATTACCAGCCCATAAAACTCAGAGACATTCAAACCAAGACAATACTTCTTCAAGAATGGGAACCTGGGAGGATCTTCCCAGTGCTCTATTACTCCTAAAACAAAAAAATCCATCAAGGATTTTGGATGAACAATGGCATGTGGTTTCTGAAAAAGGTAGCTATGAAATAATTCAAGATAATGATGAAGATATGGCTGTTACAGAGCTACTTAACAGTCCCCAGAATGTCTCCAGGACTTTAAAAGAAAACAACCAACCTGAAAACAAGCCAGGAGAGCACAGCGACCACTCAAAGTATTCTGGATTTAGACCTAGATCTCTACACGTAAGACAAGGTGGAGAAAATGGCGAGTTGAAGAAAATACCAGTTTTCATTAAAACACGGAAAAAGAAAAAGGAACCAAAGATTGCACATCATATTCCTTTCTCTCCAGTGGACATTCACTCCCTCAAAAGAGCACACTACACCAGATTTTCAGACAAGAGACTTAAACATTCATTGTTACTGCACAAGTTAAGTAAAACATCTCTTCCCATAGACCTCAATCAAACACTCCCCTCTATCAGTCCTGTCCAGATAGACTCACTTCCTGTCCACAATCTGAGCCTAACAAGTAACACTGGTCAAACAAACATTCCTCCAGATCTTTCTCAGACAGTGGCCCCAGGGGAATACAATCAAACATCTCTTATTCAAGACCCTGTTCAAATGCACTCCACTACAGACCGCAGTCATAGGTCTTCTCCCACAGGGCTCAGCCAAATTGTCAGCTATGACTTAAACCACGAGTTACACCCTGTTGACACTGGTCCATTATTATCCCATGCCCAGGAACATGAAGCTTGGCAGATGACTACCTTTTCAGGGCTCAGTCAATCATCCTCTTCTTCAAGACAAGGTCAGATGACCTCTTCCTCAGACCCCAGGCAGATGACAGTCTCCACAGACCTTGGTCAAATGCCCCTTTCCCCAGACCTTGGTCAGATGCCCCTTTCCCCAGACCTTGGTCAGATGCCCCTTTCCCCAGACCTTGGTCAGATGCCCTTTTCCCCAGACCTCGGCCAGATGCCTCTCTCCCCAGAATTTGATGAGACCAGCCTTTCTCCAAACTACAGTCAGATGACCTCCTCCCCAGAACTCAGCCAGATGCCTCTCTCTCCAAAACTTGATGAGACCAACCTTTCTCCAGATCTCAGTCAGATGGCTATCTCTCTAGAACTTGGTGAGACGAGCCTTTCTTCAGACCTCAGTCAGAATCCTCTCACTCCAGAATCTGGTAAGACCAAGCTTTCCCCCAACATCAGTCAAATGACCTCCTCCCAAGAGCACAATCAAGTAACTCATTCCCCTGGCCTCAGCCAGGAAGCTCTCTCTCCAAACGCTACTGAAACAACCCATCTTTCAAATATCGGGCAAACATCATATCCTTCAGACCTTAATCAGACATCCTACCCATCTGAGTCTAATCAGTTATTGACTCTTTCAGAATTTAATCAGACTTCTCCTTATCCAGACCTTGGTCACATACCACCATCTCCTCTCCCATCTCCTTCACTCAATGATACTTTCATATCAAATGAATTCAATCCAGTGGTTATAGTGGGCCTCAGTAGGGATGATGAAGATTACATTGAGCTTGTTCCACGGCAAGAAGTTCAAATCCCTGAAGAAGACTATGCTGAAGTTGATTATGTGACCTATGATGACCCCTACCAAACTGATGGGAGGACAGACATCAACTCCTCAAGAAACCCAGATGACATTGCAGCATGGTACCTCCGCAGCAACAAGGGAAACAGAAAATACTATTATATTGCTGCTGAAGAAATATCCTGGGATTATGCAGAATTTGCACAAAGGTTTGGCTAGTTCTCTCCTTTTATAATATTCTCACTACTGCTAAAAAAAGTAATTACAATAATCCAGGAAAATAATTCTGGGCAGATTTGTGGAATATAGTTTAGTTGCTTTATTGCAAGTTGGCCCATACCATTTCCTTTGTCAATTTCAAGATTAGCTTCTCTAATTTGGACAATACCTGGATAACAAGAGAATAATCATGGTGAGAAGTCTGTGCTATCCTATGGGTAAATAAGCCCCCTCTTCTCTCTCCTTCTATCACAGACATTCTTACCGTCTTAGTGCTCCAGTGCATATCTGACCTATCCATAGCTATCTGATAATCAATATGATTTAATTGAAGTTGGTTTGAACACCAAATATTGATGCACTTACTTGTTTACAACACAGAGTGTCTAAGTTTTTAAAAGAATTTTTAAAAGATTATCTTCATTACTACTAAAGCATAGAAAATTATATTGGGCTGAGTTCTGTATCCTGGGATGAAGATAGAGAGAAGGAAAGAAGCAAACCTTGGGCAGTGAAAACTTCACAGGGATACAGCCTGGGGAATGCACACAAACTGTCTAAATAGAGCTCTTACAAACACTGTTACACTAATTAAAAACCAAAATGAGCTGGAGGTGGTTGTGCATGTAGGCATCTGAACACGCTGGTAGGCTGAGGCAGGAGAATCACAAGTTTGAACCCTGGCAAATTAGCAGTTTAGCAAGACTATGTCTTGATATTTAAAAAAAAACTAAAATGGGCTAGGGAAGTAGCTCAGTTCTAGGTCCTGGGTTCAACCCCCTATATCACAAAACAAAACCAAATATAATTAGTGGGGTGATTTGTGCACATTAACTTGTTAATCTGATGCCTGAGGTTTCCACATTAGAACTCTGCCCAAAATGCTCTCTTCTATGACTTCTGATTTAAATGTAGCATCCATTACTATATAAAAATTGTTCATTATCTAGAACTTCTAAGCCAGGCTCTCTGGGGACAGCATTAGGGATTATTCAGAGTAGAAAAAGATGGAACCAGTTCCTATAAACGCTTGCATCCCGTTCCAAGTCTGCAACCTGGTTGTTCATTTGTTTTTATGATGGACAAGGTTGTTTTGATTATCCCAACATGTTCTGTGAAATTGTATGCAACAATCAGAGCTCAGATGGATGAGGTTTGTAGGGAAAGCAGGCTTTTAAAATAAGATTCTCTGCTGATGTGTCAAGGAGTGCACTATACATTGTAGATTCAATGGATGAGCATTTGGATTATTTCCATAGAGTTGGGAAATCTGAGAGTCAGCAGGAGAATTTGACATGATTTGGCCCCAGACTAGGCTGATGAGCTACCTGGGGAATAAGTTGCTATATTTATATTTTTACTAACCCTTTTATTTTGAGGTAACTGTAAGTTCACATATGATTGTGAGGAATAATACGCAGAGATTTCCTTGTTATCCATTATCCAGATTTTCTGAGAGGTAACAGCTTCTAAAACTTTATTACACCACAACCCGTGTATCAAGATACAGGACCTTCCCATCACTACAACAATTCTTGTCCAAGTATAGACACATCTACCTCCCTCCCCACTGTATATCTCCTACTCCTGGCAACTACTACTATGTGCTCCATTTCTATGATTCTATCATTTCAAGAATATTATATAAGTGGGATTGTGCAATATATACCCTTTGGGGTCAGCATTTTTCCACTCAATATAATTCTCCAGAGAGCCATTCAGGTTTTTGTAGGTATTAACATACAAAAAGTACATTTTATTGGTACGTAGTACTCTTTAAGATGTGTGCCACAGTTTTTTGTTCTTTGTATTTATTTGTGGTGTTGAATATGATGTTTTAATAAATGTATAACTTGTGAAATAAGTAAGTTCTTTATCAGATGCAGTGTTTTTTACTTTTATCAGATGCAGTTTTAAGTGAGATCATGTCAATTTTTTTCTGTCTGGCTTATATCACAAAAGATCTTGAGGTTAATGCATGGTGTTAAAAAATGACAGAATTGTTCTTCTTTTTAAAGGCCGGATAGTATTTCATTGGTTCATCCATTCATCCTCTGATAGGCACTTGATTGATTCTGTGTCTTGAATGTTGTGAACAGTGGTGCAGTGAAGTTACAGCACAGAAGCTGACATGCTGATTTCATTTCCTTTGGATACGTGCCCTGAAGTGAGACAGCTGGACATGTAGCAGTTCTTTTTAATTTTATTGAGAATCTGCTGTACTGTTTTCCATAATGGCTGTAAACTAATTTACATTCACACCAATAGTGTATAAGGGTTCCCTTTTCCCTATATCGTTGCCAACATTTCTCTCCTGTCTTTTCTGTAACAGCCATCCTAATAGGTATGAAGTTACATTTCATTGTGCTTTTAATTTAGATTTCTTTATTAGTAATGTTCAGCATTTTTCATATACTTGTTGGAAATTTGCCTTTGAGAAATATATTTTGGTACTTTATCCATTTTAAAATCAAGCTGTTTGGTTTTTTTGCTACTGAATTGTTTGAATTTTTATATATTTTATATGGGTCTCTTATCAAGTACATGATTTATACATATTTTCTCTCATTCCATGTATTGTCTTTTTGCTCTGTTGATTGTTTCCCATATTGTTCATAGTCTTTTTAGTTTGAAACAATCTCATTTGTCTATTTTTGATCTTCTTACCTTTATTTTAGGGTCATATCCAAGACATCTTTGCCCAGAACAATGTCAAAAAGCTTAGGAAAGCCGGGTGAAGTCGCACACATCTTCAATCCCAGCACTGTGGGAGAGAGAGGCAGGAGGATTACAAGTGTGAGCCAGCCTAGACAACTGAGTGATTTAGAAACACCCTCTCTCAGAATAAAAAAAAGCTGGGCTGTATCTTAGTGTGAAGGTCCTACCACCACATAACTCCCCAGTACTGGAAAAAAAATTGCTTGGGAATAATGAAGGGTTTCAAAAACAAATGTAGAAAGTGGACATTCTCAGAGTACAAAACACCCATCCACCCACTAGCCTTCGTAGAGGTGACCTCCTGAGTCAGCTGACCATTGTCACTTGGCAGCCCTAAACTCTGGCACGGTACCACTGAATGGCTTTGTCTGCCTTTGATGATAAAAATTGTGTTCATTCATTGATTTATATTCATTCATTAATTTATGTTTGGCACAAAAATATATTAAGTGCTTGCTAGCTGCCAGATAACATGCTGGCAGTACAAAAAGTATTATGAGCAAACTAGGTACAATATCTGACTTTATGGGGCCTACACTACACCCTAGTGGCAGAGTAATATATTAATAGATTAATATTAATAGATAATCTCACAAGTGGATCACATGTAAATATAAATATTATAAGAACACTTCCAGGAATTTACTACATACACTATAATAATGTTATAGAAATATAAGGAATGATACAAGAGACTTGACCTAATCCAAAGGATCATAGGGAGACTTGGCTAGCAAATACTTGATTTAAAAGTTTAGAAAATACAGTTTCATTCATTCAGTCATGAATTTTCCCATGATAGATTTAGGAAAAACTCTCTGTGCTAGATACTATATTTAGTATAGTATCTAAATTCCTAAACTCCTGGAACAGACTTTTATTTCTTCTTTTAAACAAAATCCATTGTTATCATTTAGTGAAATGGACAACGAAGCCAGTGATGACGTTAAAAAAGATACCACGTACAAGAAAGTCGTTTTCCGCAAGTACCTGGATAGCACCTTTACCAAACGTGACCCTCGGGGAGAATATGAGGAGCATCTCGGCATTCTGGGCCCTATCATTAGAGCCGAGGTGGATGACGTCATCCAAGTAAGTTGACTTTTGAACCCTTTCAAGGCAATCAGAGGAATTTCCACAAGCACCAGAGGTTAGAAAAGTGAGGGTAGCAAAAGAGGTATAGGTGATTTATTTTCCAGAATTAACACATAATTACATTTCCTTTCAAAGACTGCTTGCTAAGCCATTTGGCAGCCTTCAAGACAAAACAATGATCTCATATTTTGTAAGTTCTGAAAATTACATAACCTGGAAAAGATCACACTGTAACTTCCTGTTGTTTTCTAAAAAGAAACTAAAGTTAGAGAGAACTAGTAAAGATGTAAAGGTGTCTGTGTGCCCTACCCAAACAAGCAAGTTTCCTATGGCTCTTCTCAATCCTGGTCACATCTTTGAAAATCCTGTTTACAGTTCTGGGCCTATAGCATCCTTTTCAACCTCTCTATCATTGACTCATTCGTTTATTTATCTATTTATTTAAGTGCAGAGATGGAACCCAGTTACATCTCCAGCTTCTTTTACTGTATTTTGAGAGAATGTCTCAGTAAGTTGCCCAAGATTCATTGCTCAGGTTCATTCTCCTGCCTCAGTCTCTCCAGCAGCTCAAACTAGGGATATACCCCACCGTGCCAAGCTTTGGTTTGGATTTTTGTTTAGACTTAAGCACTTTATGGGTCATTCCTTTTTCTAGGTTCACTTTAAAAATTTAGCATCGAGACCCTATTCTATTCATGCTCATGGACTGTCCTACGAGAAATCATCAGAAGGAAGGAGCTATGACGATGATTCTCCTGAGTGGTTTCAGGATGATAATGCCATCCTGCCCAATAACAGTTATACGTATGTGTGGCATGCCACGGATCGGTCAGGGCCAGAGACCTCTGGCTCAGCCTGTCGGGCTTGGGCCTACTACTCAGCTGTGAATCCGGTAGGTTCTTCTGTCGAAAGTTCTTGCTATCCCTAACTGTGCTAGCCGAGCCCACCGAGTGGAAGGGTTGGGTTGCTTTAAGCCTGTCTTCTGTTTTATGAAGAATGTGGAAGCCTTGTGGTCAGCTACACAGTTCCCATACAGTTACCATAACTCCCCTGCAGTATTCAAATGACGGGGTGGGGGGTTACTGATGTGCTTGTTGGCCCCAACCCAGAATCCTTTATTTATAGAAAAAAGATGCTTATTTGAAATTTTCTTAAATATTATCTTCCATCTACTGTTTATGAAAGAACTAAAAACTCAAGTCTTTCATAAATATATATATATATATATATAACTCAAGACAAATATACACAAATTTTTGGTAAATTACAAAAGGGGTCCTTTGTTTAAGCCATAGGAGTAAGAGCACAGAGTTAGGTTTGTTGTGGGATTTTTCTTGGGCTTTTCATTTGTTTTTGTTGTTGTTGTTTTTGTTGTTTATTTTTGATTATTGTTTTATTTTTGGTGCTAGGGAGCAAGCCCAGGGCCTCCTGCACTAGTAATATGTGCTCTCCCACTGGGCTACATCGCTAGCCCCTAGACTTAGATTTAAATTCCTACCCCATCATTGTACAATCCAAGGAAAATTACTTGACTTTCTCACCCTCAGTTTCCAAAGTTAAAAATGGAATAATAGTACACAGCATATAGTGGGTACTTTATAAATATTAGTTCAATAAATGAATTTATATTTATCATCATATAGGATAGTTGTCCAAATTAAATGATACTAAAGGCAAAACATTTAGTTTACTATAGATGCTCAGTACATAATATCCATTATGTTATCATTATTATTATTATATCATTATTAATGAGATAAAGGACAGTATAGTCAAAAGGAATATGAATACAACAAAAGTAAATAAATATTCAGGCTTATTAAATTAATCCTTAAGAATCTTTAAATGCAGAGTGTCTAAGAAGATATTACTTTTTCTTTATAATTGTCAAGAGAGCAACGAAAATCTTGAACAAAAGAGAATGTATGCAATTGGCTCTTCCTGTCTTCCAGGAAAAAGACATCCACTCGGGCTTGATAGGGCCCATTCTGATCTGCCGAAAAGGAACACTTCACATGCAGAGTAACATGCCTGTGGACATGAGAGAATTTGTCTTACTTTTTATGGTCTTTGATGAGAAAAAGAGCTGGTACTACGGAAAGTCCAAAAGGACTTGGAGACTTGAATCTTCAGAAGTAAAAAACTCCCATGAGTTCCACGGTACTTTCCTGACTTTGATCTAATCTCTGAATTAAATCACACTGGGTCAGTGATTCCTGTCCTTAGAGCTTCACAGATTCAACATTAATGCTTCTGAGGAGCCAGGAGCTACAACTCAACCCTGCTGCTTAACATTTCCAAGGCTGAGTGACCTGGCAGGCAACGCTGCAGGGCAGTGAGCACAAAGAGTCTAAAAGGTCGTGCACAGAGGTCACTGCAGGGCAAAGCAGTGAGCAAAGGCCAGCGGAATACACCTTAAGTAAAAGGAATTAACATTGCTATATCCTTTAAAAAGCTAATGAACCTGTTTCTCACTCTCTGAAGGAGTGAATATTTATACAGAAGAAATGATCACTCATGTGTCTTTTCTAAAATAAGAACGATCTGATCCCAGCAGGTCTAGCGCACAGCAGCCATCGTGGCATCTATGCCAAGTGACACACGAGAACAAAAGAAGATAGGATCTGAGAGAGCCGAGCAATGGGAGAATAGGGCAAAGCAGTATTTAGGCAGTCACAAGGAGAAAAGGATTAGTTTAGAAAGTTTAAAAATATACCCAAGAGTTTGACCAGTAAATTGACAATCGAATTATAAACAGTTTTTAGAGAAAGGAAGAATTTAGGATGTGATAGAGAGCAAAAAGAATGACATGTAGAAATTTGTGGAAAAAAGACTAACTCTTTGCAAAGCTCGATAGATGGGGTAATTACGATGAAGTTTCTGATTCATGAGAACCTATGTTGGGTAATAGGTCAGTGTAATAGGGAAGGAAAAACCTGCTAGACCTTACATCCAACATCGGAAGCAATGCCCCCTGTGGCCACTCATCAAGGCTTAGTAGGTCTGTCCTTCTGTCCTACTGCCATTCCGTACTCAAGTCACCCTTCTTTATCTTATTTGTTACCTTACTTCTGCTTTTAGGAATTTAATGATCTCACCGTAAGCATACGTTGAGGTATACAGAGGTAGGCAAACCTGATTTATGGCCTGTTCCTACAAAGAATCGCTCTAGTTATCATGAAAACATTGAAAATTTTTAAAATCAAATATTAAGAGTCTGTGAAGAAATCTAGAGAGTCCATTAAGAGACAAATGAACCAAGACTGCAAGCAAAGCTTTCCCTTTTTCCCTTCCCTCCTCTGTCTCTCCTCTCCCCTCCCCGCCCCAGCCCTCTCCTCTCCTCTGCTATCCTGTCCTCTCTTCTCTCCTTCTCATTCTCTCTCTCCTGTCCTGTCCTGACCTGTCTTTCTCTCCTTCCCCTTGCCTTTTCTCTCATCCACCCTTCTCCCATTTCCCTTCAGTAGACCCCCTGGCCCAGTATGCTTGGTGTCTGAAGCAGGAGCCCCAACCTTTAGGAAACCTCTTAGCCTACTAAGAAGCCAAATGCTTCAGAATTAAGTGTACTTTTCTCTTGGCTGTTATATTTTACTCACTTGAGCTCCTGTGTACTGATTTCTGTAAAGAGTAAAATGTATCCACTGTAGCTTTAGTCCTCAATTTACTAACGTTCAAGTCTCTGTGATTTGATAATGTCCATGGTGCAGTACTTACCAGGTTATGTGAAAGCAGACCTCCCAATTTCCAGCTCCTAGCTTCGTGCCTGGCCTTTGTTATATGTGCTCAGTGAATAAATGAGTGAATTCTATCATTCAGCTCAACTTACCTAAGGTTTACTCAACACCTACTGTATTCAGAGTCTTCCCTTCCATATTCTGGTGCAACCACAGTTTAGCAATTTTGAACTAATAATCACTTGAGTTATTATGAGATCTGTGTCTTAAACAGAAACTCAAAATAGGTATAAGAGTTATGTATGTTTGTATACAGGTATCTCTGTACCTGATGTAATTTTTAGGGTGCCTGACTGATCTCAACTTTGGCCCCTATAAGAACCTCCCTTACCTAGTTCTTGAAAGTCCACTGCAGATCCTTCAATTTAAGAAAAAAATCTTTCCTGTCTCCTCCATTTAAATGACTGCTGGCACTAGGCTTTATCATTACAATTTTGTGTTATATTTTTAAGATGATCAAGTTTTAATTTTTACTTATTTCCCTAAGTGGAGAGTGGGTACAACGTGAGAATCCATCTGAGAAAATAAACATGAGTCACTTTGGTTAGAGGGTGCACAGAAAGTACTTGGCCCAGTAGTATCTATTTCCGAATCCAGAAGGACCTGGAGCAGTGTGGTGCTGCACATGCTCTTACTTTCATCTATGTCGATCTTCATCTTTTTGCAGCAAGGGAAGATTTACACTATTGATGCAGTGGAAAGCACAGAAAAGAATAGGTGTAAACTCTGAGGAAAGAACAGTAAGATAACCTGCTTGGAGGAGGACTTTGCCCACACCTCTGTAGCCTTGTGGGAATGATGTGAGGAATTGGAGGTCCTATTCTAGCATCTCACACTGGTTTTATGACATAGACCAGCCTTTGATACCTGGGTGGGACCAGAGAAGGTCACATAACAAGGCAAATGGGTGGTGAGTGGGTTGCTCCATATTTCTTATCAGCCTCCTCCTGGCACGTGCAGGGTTTCAGGTTGATTGCAATGCTCTGTCCTTTCAGCCATTAATGGGATGATCTACAACTTGCCTGGCCTGAGAATGTACGAGCAAGAGTGGGTGAGGTTACATCTGCTGAACATGGGCGGCTCCCGAGACATTCATGTGGTTCACTTTCACGGCCAGACTTTGCTGGAGAACGGCACTCAACAGCATCAGTTAGGGGTCTGGCCCCTTCTACCCGGTAAAGATCTGGTGTGGAAGAGGTCCCTGCTGAGAAATAGCAAGATAAGACAACCTTAGCATCTGACCACTGCTCACCCCAGCTCCCCATTCTCTTTTGTGTACCGACTTCCTGAGGAGTCCAAACACAGAACTCAGACATAGATTCAGGGCAAAGCCAATATCAGAACTGCATACAAAGCACAGGAGCTATGTCTCCCGAGGCCCTGGGTGCAGATAAAGTCTCAAGAAAAAGATAAAATGAGAGCTCGCAGTTGCAATTTTTCCTATTGGAAGGAGATTAAAAACTTACTAAGGTTTCTGGATTCTTGACTTTTATGCTTTGCTGTATCACTCTGACTTTTTTTGGTGGGTAATTAACTCCATGAATTATAACAATGAAATGACACCTGAGGCTGTTTTGAGGAAAAGGGAATTTAACAAATATATTGCTAAAGAAGAAACAAAAATATTTAGAAAGTTTAAGTGCAAAATAATAGTAAATGTAGGTTTAAACAAATTGCAATCATCAGAAAGGATTAAGATGTACCAATACATTGTTTATAGGCATATATATTTTTTTTAGTAGGTATGTGAGTAGGGGTATGAGATGTAAAGGCCACTGATTCACAAACTTCATAGTAAAAAAACCAGAAATCTGGTTAAAATGCACATGCAAAAAGCAGAGATTTTGCTCTTAGAGACTTTAATGAATTGGGTAGAATTACCAAGATTTGCTCCCCTGCTCCCCTCCCCAACAGTGGGGACTGAACTGAGGGCCTTTGATTGAGCAGTACCCCTAGTTCTTTTCCATTTTTTTGTTTAAAATAAGGCAAGGCATTGCTAAATTGCCAAGACTGGGCTTGAACTTGCAGTCTCAGCCTCCCAGAGTGCTAAAATGACAGGCAAGTGCCACCAGGCCCAGCTCCTGAGTTCTACGTCTTTTTAATAAGCAGGTGCCCTTCTACAAATGCTGTACGAGGAACCAGTGAGAGGCAGACCGTTACAGGAGTTTGGGTGGGGAAATCATGATACTAATCTAACTCAGATAGGGGTACACAGGGTCAGCTGGACCTGTTAATCTTTGAGTTTACATTTTGTCCTAAACTCTCTATTCTAGGTTCATTTAAAACTCTTGAAATGAAGGCATCAAAACCTGGTTGGTGGCTCCTAGATACAGAGATTGGAGAAAATCAAATAGCAGGGATGCAGACAGCATTTCTCATCATAGACAAAGGTATTGTCCAAGAGACACAGGATATTTCTTAGGAAAAAAAAGTGCCTGTAACAGGAATATTGCCAACTTTTAGGCTGCAAATGTTCTATTCTTATTACTCTGATGTGACAAAGGCATAATTTATAGCCATAGTTGTTTTTATTCTGGACTATAGTTTGACTGTGAAAAAAAAAAGTCAGTCATCTAGAAGAGTGGTCCCCGGACTTTTTGACACTTCGTGAAGACACTTTTTGATTTGTGAATGGTTCCAGGAGCCATGCAATCTAGATCTCTCTCGTGCAGTTTGCAGTCAGGTTCACACTCCTATGGGAATCTAATGCTGATCTGACAGGCGGTGGAGCTCAGGCAGTAAAGCAAGCCATGAGGAAAACCTAGGAGTATGGTCAAAATGAAGATGCTAAAAGGCAGAGATTTTGCTTTCAGAGACTTATGGTGGATATTACTTACTTTAAGATCCAAGAAGATGGAAATCAGATTAAAAACCAGTCATATTTCAAGATTTCTGTTGTTTTCCTCTATGGTGTTGCAGTTTCAATGAAAGCACTGATTTTACTAGGGCATTTATTATGATCAAACATAGTTAAGTGTCACACAAAATAAATGAAAATACGTAACAAATGACCCATCAAAGGCATAATATATAGCCCTAGAGTTTTACTTTGTTTTATGTATTTTCTAAGCAAAAATTATTCACATTTCCTGGTTTTTCACAGATTGTAAGATGCCAATGGGCCTAAGCACCGGTGTTATATCTGATTCACAGATCAAGGCTTCTGAGCATCTGGGTAAGTAGTCTCATCACAGTCTGTAAGTTTCAACTTCTACCACTGTGCAGTACACAGCCTAAGAAACCACACACGACAACCCTGGCTACAGGTCATCTCTCATCTCTAAAGCTTTCCTCCACCCAACACAAGCAAACAGTTCCATTTGGAGTAATTATATAGCAGAGGAAGGCATTCCTATGGCAGAAGCTAAAAGCCTGTTAGTAGGTTCTTATCACTGCCACTCCCTCTGATGTATACTGTTCCCAAGGAGCCCCCCACCTCCCAGGGAAAACCAAGAGCTAGGCATCACTGGTGTCTCCATATAAGCAGTTCAGCCTCTGCAGGGATTGGGGCAGGAGTAGACAGGTTTCAGTCTTGATTATGGGCCTATTTCCAAAACTCTTCATTCTTCTTGTCCGGGTTTGACCACACACATAATAGCCAAGCCAGATTCACAGGGTCTTATTATATAAAAGCAATAGTCCTCATTAATGTGACCTTTGACTTGTGACAATCATTCATCTATTTTTATTGATCACCCACTGTCAAGAGCTCCTGCCAAACAAATTTCCTCTTTCTGCCTCAAATGTCTTCCAAGACTAAAAAGCCATTATCAAGAAGATAAAGAGGCTCTCATATATCCTTCCCCTATCACCCTGTTAGGCAGCCAGAGTCAGCAGCAGCTACATCAGCATAACCAGGAAAAGGCAAACACGACCTTTGTGCAAGACAGAGTGGGTGGACAGCTAAGCAAACACAGGCAGACCTGATCCAAGATTTCATCATCAGGAACTGGTTTGGCAGTCAAGGCCCATGCTAACCACTTGGTCTCCTAATTGTAACAAACTCTTCAGTGATCTGGTTTTGTGCTGGACCAAATTCACTTGAGAGATTGCTGATCGTCTTAAAAATTCAACACTGGGCAGGCAGAGGCAGGAGGACCACAAGTGCAAGTTTAGAATGGGCACCATAGTGACTTAAGAAGACCAACTCTCAAAAAATAAAAATTTTAAAAGAGGCTGGGAATGCAGCTCAGTGTATAGGTCCTAGGCTCAGTCCCTATGTATTGGGAAAAAATTCTTTTTTTCAGAAGGCTTTTTTTTTTCTTTTTTCAAATTTAGGTTATTGGGAGCCCAAATTAGCAAGATTAAACAATACTGGATCATATAATGCCTGGAGTGTAGAAAATAGCAGATTAAAAACTGGCTCTAAACCTTGGATCCAGGTATGTCTAATTAGCCTGACAATATTCACGTGGTTGTAATACTAGACATGATAGTAATTTAATGATTTCTTCTTGTCTTTCTTGTGATGTTGTTAGAGAAACAGAAATCACTAGTTGCTAGGCACTTTTCTCAGCACTTTACATCCTCAAAATCAACCCTATGAGGATGGATCTAAGTAATATTTCATTTTATAGATTAAAAAAATCAAAGACAGAAAGATGTAAATAACTTACCAAAGTACCACATTGGTAGTTAGTGGTTGAACGGGATTCAAGTCCAGGCTGTACTCAAATATGGACTGCATCTACCCATTTTACCAGTTTGCTAAAATAAAAGGTAGATAATAGGAAGTAGGGAGATAGATCTTTCTCAAATGGTCAGGAGATCACGAGATAGGAGGAGGAAGGGAAAGCAGATGAAAAGAGAATTAAAATGTGTTCTGTGCATGTGCCAGCTCCACACAAGGAATGTAATCATGGTATACTGCATGCATGTACTAATAAAAATATTTTTAAAAAAACAAACAAAAGAAAATCTTGGGTGTTGCTTCTTTCACTCTTAAGAAATTTGATTATCCTGTGAGTTAAGCAGCATGTGATTAATATACCTTGGCAACTTTCTTGACATCTGACGTCTGTTGCAGGTGGACATGCAAAAAGAAGTCATTGTCACAGGGATCCAGACCCAGGGTGCCAAACATTACCTCAAGTCTTTGTACACCACCGAGTTCTATGTGGCTTATAGCTCTGACCGTAGCAGCTGGCAGATCTTCAAAGGAAACAGCACGCAGAATGTGATGGTCTGTGTATATGCTTCCTAAGTTCAAAACTTACGCTAGCGTGTCTAGGAAATGTGGAGAACTTTCTAAGGCTTTAATGGAAGAAAGTGATAGTATGATGGCAGTCTGTGTACTACATACTAAAGAGAGAAGCAGAATTACTGAAACTTCAGAACTCCACAAATATTGAAAACTATCACTTTATTATTTTAAAAACCCACCAGATTAGCAGATTATGTACAGAATAAAGTACTGGACTCATTTCTCAAGCTTATGCTAGAAATGTGCCAAGGGTTTTGATTTTACTATTACATTTTGCTATAGTTTTACTATTACATTTTATTTTTAATTTCAGTGTACATGAAATTAAATAGTAGTATTTATGCCTGTGATGCTCTGAGGCTCTATTAGTCTCAGACTTATTAGGGACCATGCCTAAGGAATGAGGCCCCCTTGCTGGTTCTTTCACGGGCTGAGCCAGGAGCCCTAACTCTTCCCCGCGTCTCAAAGTCCCTCTCCCCCACAAAAAGAAACCTTAATGCAAGGAATCTGTCTGCCATTGTTGGACCAATAACCTGAATCTGTTTATTTGTATCTTATGGAAATCCTTTACTATTCTAACACTTTGCTTTATTATCATTTATGTATTTCTAATAATAACAGGTCAGATCATGAAAATTTCAAATTATGGTTCTTTCTAATCAATATTAGGAGAAAAAACAAAGCAGCTGAATCCATAGCCTAAAGACTTTTGTATCTGCATTCATGAGGAATATTACTGTGTCTTATTTTTTAGTTGTTTTATGATTTTTTTTGTACTGCCTATTTCTGGATTTGATATCATGGCAATACTAACCTCATAAAAGAAATTGGTAACTATACCCTTCTATATTCTGGGAGAGATTTCTACAATTTGTGTTAATTCTTTAAGCATCTGGTAGAAATTACCAGCAAAACTATCTAGGCTTGGAGATTTATTTTTTAGGGAGAGAAAGGAGTTAAAATTACAAATTTAATTTTTTATAGAAGTATTCAAATTATCCTTTTCATATTGGGTGAATTGTGACATTTTGCGGGTTTTTTCTAAATAAATTATTGATTTCTTCCACAGTGTATTTCATTCTGCTTTTCATGTCTGCAGGGTCTATTAGTGATATTGGCCTGTTTCATCTCTGACACTGTAATTCATATCTCTTCTTTCTCTTTCTCAGTTTTGCTAAAGATTGTCTACTTTTTTCCTCCAAGAACCAGTTCTTTTATGGTTTTTTCCTATTGTCTTGTTCTTCTATTTTCTATCTTACTGATATCTGCTCTTTTGCTTGAGCTGGTGTTTTTCTGACAATGCCCTGGAACAAGCACAGGTTATAGCCTCTCTGGTTCCTTCCTGGTGGAAGGAGGTCTCCCATTTGCCTTCCTTGGCAATTTATAGCAAGCTTCTCTTTGCAGCTATAGAAACTGAGGTCCCAATGTGGTTTCTGTGGATACTTCAGGGGTAGAAGTATCTTTAGGGACAGGAGCGGATTCCGATCTTAGACTTCAGACACATCCCCAACTAACTTATGTTAGTCTGACAAACATAAGTCATCCCATTCTGCCTTTGCTGCTAGTTTTGGAATGGTCTATCATTTTTTCTGTGGTTTTGGGCTCATGTAGAACAGTTATTGTCTGGACCTTTTCTGCTTAGTTAGGCTGTCCTTTCCTAGTCCTTTGGTTGGAGTGTTGTCTGTGTCCATTGGTGTTTGCAGATTGCTGTCTTCTTCATCTCCTGGACTAGAATACATAAAAGAAAACTAGAACCCAGGGACACCACCACCGTGTTTTCCCTTGGGTCCTTGGAAACCCTGTCAATATCTTTTCCTGTTTCCACTGTTCAGAGTCTTGTGTTTTTAATGTTTGTACCCAGGATAATTAGTTGTACACAGCAGGAACAAACAGGGCAAAGTACATCATCTTCTTGGAAGAAGCATCCTCAACTTTTTAATAAAATTGACTTGATTCAAACCCCATAAGAATTTAGTATTATAATATTAAATTAGATGAAAACGTTATTATAAAGTCATTTCACAGAGAGCTGTTGTATAACTAAGCTTTCCTCTTTTCTTCTAGTATTTTGATGGTAATTCAGATGCCTCTACAATAAAAGAGAATGAGTTTGACCCACCTATTGTGGCTAGATATATTAGGATAACTCCAACAGGATTCTATAACAGACCTACCCTTCGACTCGAGCTGCAAGGCTGTGAGGTTAATGGTAAGGAACAAAGATGTGTTATCATCTTACTGATACTCAGGTGCTCCAGATTTGGCATGAGTGAGGAAATACAAGGAACTCTTAGTTCTCTTTCATGACTTAGGCTCCACAAAAATCAGGAAACAGAGTCCACTCAGGTAAATTCTTCCATATGGCCTTGACTGCATCTGGTCCCACCAGCCAGAGGGCAGCACCTCTGTGAACAATCCTAGTTGATACAGATATCACCATGATCCTCCAAGGAAAGGTCCTAGGATGGAATCCTCTCCACCAATCCATTTTCAGTAAGAACTACTTGAGATTCAAACTAGGCTCTACTCTTCCAATGTCTTGTAGTTACTTTGAATTTAATGCAGTAAAGTATTTAGCAACATTACTAGCATATCTTGCTGTTCATGAACACTTTTGAAATCTGGATCTGATTTTCAACTTCCTAAACGGATGCTCTATATCCTCTTTTGTACCCTATATTGGTAATCAAGTCCTTTTTTTGTAAGCTACTGTTTTTCAGAGGATGTAACACAACCTCTTATGTAAATAAATCCAGGTAGTCCGAAGTGGTCATAATAAAATCTACTATATATAACAGTGACATTTAAAGAGTCTGAACTATTTTTCTATGATACGTAAATCAATGCTTTCCAATATTGTCCACTTCAAAGCACACATAAAAAATAATATCTTTCCAGCAGTCTGAGGTAAGAAGCTATAGCAGCTGCCCCATGCCCAAGCTGAAACAGGCCCAGTTGGCTCCTGAAAGACTGAAGAGTTGAGGGATTGGTATAGATCACACAGAAACTTGCTTTTGTCACACCGTTGGAAAGCTAAAGCACCTTGCCACAGGGGAAGAAGCAGTAACTCAGAGGAGAAAGTAGCTGGACCTTGAAACAGTTTTTATCGGTACAGATAATGGTACACTATACTCTTGGCATTCATGAGGGATACGGATATGGATATTTGCTAATATCCATAAAGCGGTAGTATGTAACACCTCCCATATAAAATTAAACTTTTCTATAGGCAGGAAAACTCTTTGAAATAGTTTCAAAAATCATTAAGGTTTCTTTCTTCCTATGTGGCACATAGTGTAAATGGTAGACTTGTACATATCATGGAGTCAAGCTACTCAAAATGGGGCATGCAACATTAATTTATTTAAAACACCTCTCTTCTGTACAAGCATTGTTTTCTTGTTATATATGCAGCCTGTATTAGCGGTAGGTGTTCATTTTAGGGTTTCTGTCAATTTCTGAACGTTTCAGCAGAGAGAACAAAAATGTCGTGGGTGTTGGGCAGTTACTGCACTAGCTCACTCCTCCACCTCTCACACTAACAGACTGGCCCTGACGTTCAAAGTATTAGATGGTGACTACCACACGCCACTATATGGCTTTGTCATTTTTGTTAAGAAAATAGGCTGTTTTTTCATACACTGCCACGCATTCATGCATTTCTTAACCCCGGGGATGTGTTCTCAGAAATGCACCATTAGGCTGCTATTTCACTGTGCAGATATCATAGAGTATCAGTAACTACACAAACTCAGGTGATAGAGGGCAGTCACCCCATAGGCCTATATGAATGGTTTAGAAATTACTGTCTGCCTCAGAGCAAAGTCTGAAGGAAGGAAAGGGAGTTTAAATATTTAGTACATTATATTCACCATCTACTATATGAGTCTGAATTCAATTTTCAATTCTGGCTGCCCTATGTTAGACAAATTACACTTCTCGCTGTAATTTTGCCCTCCTCTTTGTAACATGCAGGTAACTGAACATTAAAGAATAAATTCATACCTGAGAGCAGTGTTTGCCCCATGAGTTCAATGAATGTGCATCACTGTGATAGTTTTTGTTGTTAATTGGTAGTAATGTTATTTCTTATTGATTCTGAATTATGAAACACCATGCTGTGAATTTTGTGCATAACTAATCACATTACCTTTTTCTTCACAGGATGCTCCACACCGCTGGGTATGGAGAATGGAAAGATAGAAAACAAACAAATCACAGCCTCCTCATTTAAAAAATCGTGGTGGGGAGATTACTGGGAACCTTCCCGTGCCCGCCTTAATGCCCAGGGCCGAGTGAATGCCTGGCAAGCCAAGGTGATACAGACCCTATGAATGAATCCTTCTCTGGGCACCCCCAGAAGCAAACAGTGGAGTAGGGGGGTCTGGGAAGCAGAAGGATCATGTCCGATGTCTCAGATGAAAATTCAAAGTCTGAGAATCCCAGATGTCTGCAGAAATCAATGCAGAGAAAAGTCATTTATCATCGCTATTATTCTTGGTCTAGCCTTGATTTAAAGCATGAGGGGACAACATTTTTCTATAAAGATTAAAATTAAAAAGTATTGTAGGCTTGATAGGCCAAACATTCTGCTACTATTCACCTCTGCCACTGACACATGAAAGCAGCTATTAACAGTACATAAATGCATTATCATGGCTGCAGTTTCCAATTCCTAATACAGATAATATTAGCGATAAATGCTTTAGATTTATAACATTTCTTGTTTTGCTTCTTCACAATTTAAAAATATTTTAAAACTTTTTCAAACTTGCTGTTTAAACTTTTTTGTGCCTTTTTTTTTTTTTTTGTCTCTTTCCTTTTTATCGGTACTGGGGATCGAACTCACGACTGCCTGCTTGCAAAGCAGGCGCTTATGCCACTGAGCTAAATCCCCAGCCCCTTTGTGCCCATTTTTTAAGAGCATATTTTAAGACATTCCTAGAGATGACTGGGGGCATGGTAAAATGTTGCAAAACTAGAATTATAAATCAGTGATCTAAACAAACACTTCCAGAGAGTTATGTTTTTCCTGATATCAACCCACTGAGTAACTCAGGTGACCTAACATTAGGGTAACTGTTCATAGTTTATTTGGTTTTCATTCTGAATTGACCTAAAGAATCAGAATCCCCAGGTAACTTAAGGGTCCCTCTAACCAACTAAATCCAAATCTTTCCTTAGAATTCGCTCTGTAGTATTTTCTACTCTCCTCCCTTAAGATACCTACATTCCAGTTCCCTGTACTCTAGAGAAGCCCAGGTCCCGTTTTCAAATTAGGCCACTAGAAAGGAAAAAAGAATAGTTGTACAAGTACCCTACACACTGTTAGAGACCCCTCTCTGCCTCTGAGCCTCAAAACTCATTTTGGCCCATCATGGAGCCAGCAGATACTACAGTAACAGGTTATTTATGAGGCTTTTGCTTCATACTTTTCCTTTTCAGTCTAAATACAAAAAAAAAATGAAGTAATTTTAGGTTAGCTTGGTCATAGGATCAGAACTGGAAATCCTTTCCCAATAAACACACAGTGGTCTTTTCTCCATTTGAAGCAGCCCAAACACATTGTTTTTCAGTTTTTCAATGAGCAAAACTGATACCCAAAGAAGTTACAATAATTAAGATACTATATTACATTATGTTTATGTTTGTTATTATATGTTATAAATAATAAATGATTAAAGAGAGATGTCACCCAATCTTTCCTCACCTCTCCATTTCACAACCTTAAAAAATTATTCCCCATATAGTTTGTTCTCAGTCTCTGTAATATAAGAAAAACTGAAAAGTGAAATTTGCTAATTTTAACTTTTAATGCTGCTATCCTAAATCCAGAATTCTTAAATCTACTTAAGTATGTTTCACTTATCCTTTTATTCATGTAAAATATATTTACAGAATTTCTTTAGAGACTTAAAGCTAGACACATGCAGGCAGGCACACAAATGTCCACTTCTCCCTGACTAAAGTGTCCCCATCTTATTTATTACAGCAAAAACCCTTTAGTTACCTATATCCGGTTTCCTGATACAACACCAATTTGAAGACACACTTAAGACACCATCCAGATATCACTAAAGGGTGTCAAAAAATTAATAAAAGTTCTACTACAATCATTTTAATTAATTTGTTTTTAAATATATCCTACCAGTGTACACGTGTAAATACACAGACATCTAAAAAGATGCACATACATCCACAGAATAATGAGGAAAGACATCAATATTTATTCTTTTATATAAAGCTCAATGAAATCTCTTGGGCATGATAAGTCTCTCAAAGATGAAAATTCATCTCAAATGACTCAAAACATCAGTTAGTCCTGCTGACTTTCTCTCTCCAAGTGCATATCACTGAACATGATTAGCCCTTATGTTAGATTAAGGGCAGTAAATAATAGCAGTGGAAAGAAAAGTTGCGCTTTTCTGAAGTATGTTAAATAGAGGATGCTATCCAATTATTTCCCAGATAATTCTACATCAGTATTATCATAGTATTTGAATTCAGCAAGTATCTATTGAATACCAACTGTGTCACTTGCCTAATTATAAATACTAGAAAAGTAAACTAAAAACTACTGTTCTGGAACAATAAGTGATATAAAGAAACAAACAACTATTGTATGAGGCCTGAATTACATTAATAGAAATATCTATACTTATAGCAACAAACAAGAAAAAAAATATGGAAGTCTTCTAAAAGACCATAAATCCGAGGGTATGAGCCAGAAAAGAAATCCATTTGCGCTCTGGGCTTTCCTAAAGAGTCTGATCTAAACAAAGCAAGTTTCTAATATTGTATTTGTCCATGTGCTTGCATTATCGTCATAGGCAAACAACAACCAACAGTGGTTACAAGTTGATCTGCTCAAAATCAAGAAGGTAACTGGGATTGTAACACAGGGCTGCAAGTCTCTGTCCTCTGAAATGTATGTGAAGAGCTACACCATTTACTACAGTGACCAGGGCGTGGAATGGAAATCTTACAGGGAGAAATCCTTCATGGTGGACAAGGTATGGGCTGGCTTCTGGGCAAAGAGAAACCAATCTGAAAACTGTTCCATGTTGAGAATAATAGTATCTTGTTATTGACAATTATGCACCAACATGTGGACCCTCTTTAAGCTTCTAAATTCTAGTCTGTACATCATCTTTCTGCCTTGACTGAGCCACGTATGAAAACAAGACACAATCCCAGGGGGCAGTGCGAGTTTAATTAGCTCTGACTGAGAAAGATTGTGAAGATATCCACAAAATCTTCTACTGTGAAATAACGGCATAAAAACAGAATGGAAATTGGACTAAATCCAGTGGGCACAGAACTGTAGGAAAAGTGAACTGAGATTTAATGAATTCTCATCAAAAGCTCAGCACTTAACTCAGTTAATGATTTATACCCATTTCTCATTTTTTAAATCCCTTGTTATCTGTTTCCATTGGTCTATTTCTCACTATACTCGATTGAGCTCACACCACAGTAAGCACCACTGTCAAAAATAAGTGCTTTTGTTTCTTCTATGTGTGTGCAAATCTTGGAGAAATTGCTAAGGAATTTTTAAATGTTTAGTTGAGGATATAGACCATATGCTAAGAAACGATAAATATACAGGAATATACGGTGATACTGCAAATGTTTGTAGCTAATCTCTTATGGGCACTAATCTCTTATTTCTTCTCAACACTTAGAGGCACTTGTCATGTGTTTACATACACTTTTATAACTCTACAGTTTTTAGAGGTCAAATTTTTTATCATCCTTCTTTTGCTGATGAAGAAATGGATAACAAGAGAATATAATTAACTTCTTCAAAGTCATGTAGCTAAAAAGGAGCTGAGAACCGTTAGAACATGCTGTTACATAGCACTGTGTCAGATTTATTTTTCTTTAATTTGATTCATCACTGGTGAAATTAAAACCCTAAAAGGTTCTACCCAGCAGACACTAATTGACGATCATTTCTATGATAGTGTTATTTTTTTTAATTAATTAAGTTTATTGGTACATTTTAGGCATACATCATGATCACATTCATCATAGGCAGTTTGTACGCCTACATGATATATCTTGATTCTTTTTCTTCTCATTCCCTTAGCCTCTCTTATTTGATGCCCTCAGTTTGCACTAAAAGGATAGGAAATTGCCACATTTTTAGATCCACTGCACCAACACTGAAAATTATATTTCTCATTTTGCTTTCAGGTCTTTGAAGGAAATAGCAATGTCAACGGACACATGAAGAACTTTTTCAATCCACCAATCATTGCCAGGTTTATCCGCATCATTCCTAAAACATGGAACCAGAGTATTGCACTTCGCCTGGAACTATATGGCTGTGATATTTACTAAAACTGAATATTCAAAAAAAAACAGAAGAGACTTTTTAAGACCTCAAAATATCTAGGGTGAGCTGTGTATTTTGTGGTTATTTTAGATGTTAAAATTTTTCTATTTTTTCTATTAGAAAATAAAATTTTATATAAGAAACTTTTATAATGTAACTCACTGCTGCCATTAAGTGAGATGGTGGTTTTCATTTCTACGTTAATTTGAATATTAGATGAGAAATATCAAGAAGCAATAAAATGGCTTATTTTTGCAATGATTAAAATGCTATATAAAATAATATTCATCTAATATGGTTCATTATATTTTTTAAAATCCTGTTCACATTAATAAAAGAGGCATTACTTTTGCAAACCACTTATAGACCTGGAAAAGTTTCATTTCTTCATTTTTCTAAAATAACCAAGATTTAAGAACAAATGAAGCAAAGATAAGTTTTAATGGTTTATATGTCTTGATAGCAGAGACATGAAATGATAAATGTTTAAAATGTCCCATCTTTTCTATGCTATAAGACTTTTCTGAGTCTCCACAAGCAAGGAAACATGCAAGCACATTCTTAGTAGTACACCTGGACTTGAGTTTCTCTGGAGACTTGCTATACATATTGATGTTCAAGGTTAGCAATTGTTAGACATGAAACAAAACCAAAGTGGCCATGGGAGAACAGAATATATAGCTTTGGCTTCATTCTAGCTGGTGCTACATTAATACACTGTTGCAAATCAGGTTCACAAAAGGAAGAGCGCATAGCTGTAAAATAGAACTCTGGAACTGCTGGCCCAAACCCAGCTATTTCTGTTGTAACTGCCTCCATGCCAAACTGGCAAGCAGTTCAATTTTCTTTTAGTGCCCTTCTCCCTATGGCCTCAAACTCCTCCAGTCTCTTCCTCCAGCAGCTTCCTGTTTCATCTTATCTGCATTGGCATCCAATGACCCTATAGTTGTGATGGGACTGGGAGGCTTTTGGCATACTTGGTAGGCTAGACAGTCTTCAAAATTTAGTGCTTCAAAAGACAACCACAAGGAGAAATTGTGGAGTGGTGATCAATAGCAAAAGTTAGCCTCTCCAAGATCCAGAATTCAGATGCTGGAAAATAACAACTTGGCAAAGAAAAAAAAGTGAAATAGTTAAGCGGGAATCAGGAAGGAAGAAACGGGAAAATTAGAAGCTACAGAAAAGTGGGAGAGATGATCTGTAATACAGAAAACTAACTAAGAAGTCTGGACTCGCTCCCTGGCTCATGGCTCATGGGGAGGGGAGCCTGGCTCCACAGAAGCAAAGCAAGCACCCAGGGCTAGAAGATTCAGGAAGCAACACTGGTAGACTGGGTGGTGACATAAGCCAAAGGCTATTAACTGCAAAAGAAGTATGTGGTTTTACTCTGAGAGGACTCTTCACATGGCAGGTAACAATGAGAGAGAGATTCCAGCGTGGACATCTGCCAAATTGTCAGAGAGTTTTTAATCAGGCATTTGGGGTAGAGGTTGATTACTTAAATCTGAAGTTTATAACAATTAGAAAACAATTTTACAATCAGAGTTCTTATCGTTATCTTCCCACAGTGACTGGGTGAGAAAGAGCCACGGCAGAAAGCCACAGGCAGGCAGGAAGCTAGAAAGAGATCTCCTAGAAGTTTAAGCTCATGCCAGGAAGGACATGGCCCCACCATCAGTGGGGAGAAGCCAGCCCCAGCTGAGCTGTGTGCTCAGAGATGGCTGGGTTTGAAAATATCAGCAGTGTGTACTTGCACCTTTCCATGTTGCCTGCATCTAGCACAGATCTGAGGTCTGATTGCCTTCCCTATCCACCAACATGAGCAAGGACACATCCTGGTGTAGACACTGATACAGGCTCTGCAGTGGAGAGGCACACAAACCCACAGGCTGTAAGGCTAGGCAGAGAACACTATGACTTACTAGATTCTACAACTTCAGAACATCAAAGGCAACCACTCATTCAAAAGTACAGAGAAAAAATATTCTGTTTTTGGAGTCATATTCATTCTCTCTCTCTCTCTCTCTCTCTCTCTCTCTCTCTCTCTCTCTCTCTCCTCTCTCTCTCTCCCTCTCTTTCCTTCCTCACTAGTTATTGAGGGTTAGGGATGTTTCTTTTTTTCTTTCTTCTTTTTCCCCTTTTCTTTTCATATTTTTCCTTTTAATTTTTTCTATTTTTTTACTTTCCAGATTCTTCTTATATTTCTCACTTGATTTTTATTGTTATCTTTACCTAATTCTATAAATTTCATTATACTCCTTGATAGAGTATTTTGTTTCTTCTCCTCTTCATCTCCCATTGTTTAATTTTTCAAATTTTCTTCTTGCATTCTCCCATTTCCAACCCCACTTATCTTTAAAGTATAACCATTAAGATTTATTAATCTTTAGATAGCTAGTTAACACTAAGTTACTACCATTGAATTATTTTCTATCATTAGTAGAGGTATAGTTATTGCATGGAGTATATATTTGTTGTACGTCTATATTTGGCTTGTCTTACTGTTTATACTATAATTATAGGTTTCTAAAGTTAAGATTATTATAATATATAATATAAAGTTATATTATTGGTCCTGTGGTATGTCAATATCTAATTTTCTTGGACAATATTACTGCTGCTCATTTTTTGATACTGCCAGAGTCTCATAGTTGTTGCTATTAATAGGCTTTCTTTGTATGTCAATACTCAAATTTGTGACACTAACAATACCATGGTCCATTCCCAGTGAAATGGGTACCAGGCTAAATATACTAAATCCTTCCTGCCCAAATTAACAGAGGTGGTCAGATCTTGGGAGAGAGGCAAAGGACTCTTGCTGGCCATGCCGTGAGTGCATCACTAAAAACAGTACTAACTAAAGAGAGCTCCAAACTAGCAACAAAATCGTCCCATCATAAGTGACTACAAACTGAAGCATAAAACAAAACAAATGAACAAAAACTACAGAAACACCACAAAATGCCACCCAAAACTGCCAACCCCCGCCAAAGTTGACAGCAGGGGTACGACAGGGAGGAAAGCAAAAGCTACACAGCTGCATTATTAGACAGCTTAACAAAACAATTTTTAAAATCAAAAACCAAGTCAATATAGCTCAGAGAAAATATAGCTAAACAGATAATGGGTGTAATAAATAAAACAAGCAGGTTAAGAAGACACTACTGAAAAAGGTAGCTGAGTAAAACAGAATGACACAAAACATGAATGATCAAGTTAACAAAGAATTACAGCCCATGAAAAGGTTCCAAACAGAAATCCAGGAGTTTAAAAATTATACTGAAAGCATAGGCAGTAGAACTAATGTGAGATCAGAATATCAGAATTAGAAGATAAGGATGATCTCAAATAACAATTACTCACACATATCTTAAAAATCAATAAAAGAACATGAAAAATGGATCCAACAACTGCCAGATGATGCAAAAATCAGCAGCCAGCACAAAAGGCATGAAAAATGTGCTTACAAAAATAATAACAAGATCCAGAGAACATGGCAGACAGATAGCAGCAGCTACACAGGCTTTCTCCGAGACCCAGTTTAGAATCCAGGAATGGTGCAGAGGGAGGAATCCTAACCAAGAGGAGATATACCCTGCTGACCCAAGAATGAACTGGGCTGAGAGATACCAACTGGGAATGCAGTTCTGGTGCTATAACAGGAACAGATAAAGCCTGAGTGTGGAAGCTGGAGCCCGTGCCATTGAAAGCCGCGATTTGGGTTTCCTGCCGCTGCGGCTGCATCTGAATTGGCTCTGTAGGGAGAGAGACACACAAAACCACTGAGAACAACAATCAGTGAATGGAGTTAAGAGCTGGGCAGGTGGGGAGCTGTGCATCGACCTCCAGTGAGTGAGGGAAACTGGGACTCTCCCAGGTTCTAGGAGGCGCCAACAGAGGACATTCTGGGACTGGGCAGACTTGCTGGAACAGCGCCCTGCAGTGACTTCAGTCATGTATCCACCTCTCAAGTGGGATTGGTGAGCAGTGCCTAGCCTACATGACGCTGCTGGCTGAGACCCAGTAGGCTAGCACAACCCAGGTCCCAGCGCCTGGAGGTGCACCCTAGTGGTGAGGCCTTTTGGTAGGTTGACCTGGAGGGGCGGGCCCCACATAGACTGCCTGGTCCTAACTCCCTGGTGCGCTGTGGTGGGCGGGAACACCTAGCTGGCGCAATTCAGTCAGACTGTGGCTGACAGGGAAGGAAGCTGGGCCTCCTATATATGCTTGCATATATAAGGAACAAAGAATATGGGAAGAGGGAGCAACAAGAAAGGCTCCTCGGCCACCAATCCTGAGAAACAGGCAATAGCAGACACGCCACCAATAGACATAAAAGGCTATCTCCAGAGCCTCATAGACGAGTTCAGGAATGAAGTTATTAATGACCTAAAGCAAGACATAAGCAGAATAGTCAGAGAAATGCTAAGCACCACCCAAGAAAAAGCAGATGGTAGAATGGAAGAACAGAAAAAGAGGGGAGAATTATTTGATGGAGAAAATAGAGAACACGTAGAATACGTGAAGCAGGTTAAAAGAGATTACCAGGAAACTAAAAACTCTATCAAAAACTGGCATAACAGCTTGAAAGAAACTAAGGACAGATTATCTGAACTGGAGGGCAGATTTGTAATGTGGGAGCATGAAATGAAAAACTTCTTAAAAATAACAAAAAACCAAACAGCAACAACACAAAAACTAGAAGATGATAAGAGGATCTATAACTTAAGAATTAAGAACATAAGAGAAGAAGTGGGGACACAAACAAATGGACTACAAAAGCTATTCACAGAAATAATCCAAGAGAATTTCCCTTAGTGAACGGTAAAGATACTCAGATATATGAGGCATATAGGACTCCAGCTACCTACAACCCAAATAGTGGTACACCCAGGCATATAATAATCAAAATTCCAGAAATCCAATATAAGAACAGAATATTAAAAGCTGTCAGAGACAAGAAACAAATCACTTACAAGGGAACACCCATCAGAATTACAGCAGACTTCTCAGCACAAACCATCAAATCATGAAGAGTGTGGGGGGAAATAATTCAAGCTTTGAAAGATAATAACCTCCAGCCAAGATTGAGATATCCTGCACAACTATCCCTGGAAATCGATGGAAAAACAAGGTGCTTTCAGGATAAAGAGGAACTAGGGGAATATGCAGCCACCAATTCACCTCTACAGAGAATACTGCAGGATATTCTAAAAAAGAAAAATACGAAGAATCCAGAAATAGTGGCAGAGAGGCCACAATGAATGGAGCAAAAAACAAAATGAAGAAGACAAAGTAACAACTAATGACAGAAGAAGAGCTCAACAGAAATGAGGCAGAGAAGATTGGATGATAGGAA